TCAGGACTAAAAATTTAGAACCAGTAGATATCAGAAGTAGCAAACCACCTAAAAAACGGAAACTTTAATGGAAAGATACTCCAGGAGACGGGGGGATTCATTAGAGGCGAAATTTTCGAAAGATTTTTCACGATAATTTACTTTTGACAAAAATTTTAGCCAATTTTTCCCAAGTTTTTTGTGGTTTATGACCTATATCTCAAGAACCAGCGTACCTGGAAAAAATCTGAAAACAAAAAATGAAAATTGGGATCTTCTTTTATGGGGAGGCAAAAAATTAGATAGATCCATTCAGTGGTTTTCGCGGACCATCGAAAATTCGAGCATTTCACTCAAAACCTATTAACCTTTTTCATTTTCAAGGAAATGAAATCATATTTTTGTCAACATACCTATCAGAATTACGGATCGAATGGGAAAGCCGGATTTTTTATTTAGGCCCTAGTTCGGCAGAAAAACCCGGAAAACGTGAAAAAACCGGACCCACTCATACGTTTTTAATCATAACTTGGTTCAGCCGGTTCAACTTTTGACGATTTTTGGTAACCGGATAGTCATAGAGATTTTTTATAGATCAAACAATAATCATCTAAAACGGACCGGAACTGACCTAGTTAGGATTATTTTGAAAAAAGTTTTATAAAATGCCGAAAATGGGGGTACGTGATTCTTTAAAGGAAGAAGGTGGCGGAATTTTAGCACACCAAATTTCAGTCCCGTACAATGTTTTACTCAGATTTTATGCTAGTTCAACTTTTGCTCCCAGTAATCATGCGACACCTCCCAGTAATCGTACACTAAATTTTATGTAACGTGCTTCTTTGCTTCTAGGACTACATCAAAACATCACGATCTGGTGTGATATATGATTATTGAAAGCATTTAAAATTGTTACCAGTTTATAAGCATTTTCCAGCTCTCCAAGCTGAGACTAAAAATGAAGAGAAGAAGTTCGACGAACTTTCCGCCAAATTAATCGAAGAAGCAGAGAAGGAGGTGATAAGCAAAAGGAAAATCTATGATGAGATCATTGCCAAAAACATGAAACTGTTGGAAGCGGATCAGTTGAAAGTCGAACAAGTAGTTTTTGTTCTGAATGTTTCAAAAAAAAGATGGTTTTAATTCCAGGAGCTTCTGGAAACAGATTCTAATCTGCGCAAGCTTCAGATGGATATCACTGAGACGATTTCGTCTGAAGCAGAGAAAACTGAAATGAAAAAGCAAAGGCTGATGGAAGAACAGAAAAAACGAGACGAGGAAAGATTGGTCATTAGACTTGAGAAAGATAATGAAAACCTGGAATCAGAACTTAAAGTCATGAAAGAGGTTCAAAAGAAAAATGAGGAAGTTCAGGATAAAGTGAGTTTATAATTTTTTTGCAATAAATTGCGTATTTAATACAGGAACTTCAATACACACAAGATATTGGAAAATCTCATTTGATCGCACAACGAGAAAATTTCACAACAATGGAACTGAGAAACAGGAAATACAACAACGGAGTCATGAACGATTTTCTGGAAAAACTGAGTAATTTGTCTGAAAATGTGAAGCGATCATATGCACGGTGCAGCATTTACCTTCAAAATGATGGAGTATTGAGTGGACAGTTGGCAAGAAAAGCTAGAGAATCGTTCGAAGGCTTTTTGGCAGAATTTCATACAACAGCAGAAGAATTGATAACGATTGAAAGAAGACTTGCTGAAGTCGATAAAAAGGAAATTCCACCAGACATGGTGAAGAATATTCAGGAAATGAGAGATGTTCTTTTCCAATTGAGCAATAATGTTTCCAAGTTTTGTGGACGATTAATGGTAATACTTTCAAGCAAAAAATTAGGGGGGTACAAAGGGGAACAAAGTGATTTAGGGGTACAAAATCCATGATTGGGGTGTACTCAACTTTACAGCAAGTTGTATTATGTTGAACAGAAAGTTTCTTCCTTTTTTGGCAACTTTTTTGGTCAAATTTTTCTCAAAGGGGAGAAGACTAGATAAATAAAAATTACGTCCATAAGAATCGATAGTTGTCTGCCAACGCTTCGTAAATTTCTTAATTCAATGGGACCAGAACGAGGAGAGCGGAGATTGAAAAAGTGGGTCAACTCCTTTTTGGTGTCATCTTTTCAATTGAAGTCTTTGCTATCAAAATGACGTTTAAGAGTCCCAAAAGAGGATTTATCTGGAAGGGAAAGGTCCAGCAAATACGACGAATGCAAAAGAATAATTCAGCCAAACGACAGAGTTTTTGGCTGATCCTTCTAATCACGGGCGATCTCGCATTGTCGCGCTGAATGTGAACTTTGGGTTTTCTCCTTTTTTTGCTTCGACTCCCAAATTTAGTTTTTCTAATTAGGAACAATACAAGACGGCAAATATAATGATACCTTCATTTAAAAGTTCCCAGTCTCCATTCCTTTGACAGAACATCAACCACAATGCATCCCCTTTTTCACGTAAAGTTTAGGTTCCGGGATGTCCAGAGCCAGCTGTTCTTTGTTAATCAACTGACTCTTCCGCACATTGATAGAGTAACTTAACCACTCCTCATTTATACTAATTAGATCATCCACCCAACTGAACGTGTTAAGAAATGATACGAGACACAGGCTCATGTCCACATGGAGATCCATATCATAGTCCTTCAAAACACTCGGTACGAATCGACCCACTTTTTGACTTCACCACGAGACTTCGGTCCGTTTACAATACTTGCTTGACTAAAGTACAATGCCTTTGACATTTTACGAATAGTTTGAAATAGATCCGCCTTCACGACTTTTAGCAATGGATCGAGATCCAACTAACTTAGCATCTTTCAAACCGAACTCCCCCGAAAGGGATCTGTCGAACCAAAGGCAAATTGTAGGCAATGACGGAGCACGTCCTTTTTATACATTCACCCGTTTTTTGCAAATAGCAGGTATTTGAAGATCAAATAAAAACAAAAACATAATCATGTAGCCTATGTGCAGACGGATAAGGGCCAAAAGAATCGTCATTCCTTCAACACGGAGTGAGATAAAAACTAACCAATCTAGAATCTAATAGACACAGAACATAGCTCTCTAACAAAAAAAATTTGGCCCGGTACACCTCTTCTAGAACCAGAAACCGAGCCTCAAAAACAGCCCTGTGAAAAAGGAAAAAACTTTCTGTTCAATCTAAAATTTTTTGTACTTCTGAACTGAAATTTTGCCTCTAAATGGGGCGCAGCTTCGTTTAGATAAAAATTTCAACTCGGCGGTACGGAAAATGAAATTTACCCGGGGATTTTGTACCCCCCCCCCCCCCCAATCACTAATTTTGTACCCCTAAATCAGTTGTACCCCGTTGTACCCCTGAATTTTTGACCATACTTTCAGTATGTTCAGCATTGAAAATGTTTGTTACAGATTGGACAAAGTCTTAAAAACGAAACGGATGAAGGAGAGCTTCAAAAACTGATGGACCGCTTCTCCAAGATTGTAAGCATAAAAAAAAGTTTCCCAATATATGTTTTGAAATAATTCAGGAATTTGCTCATTTCAATAATATCAATCCAGATATTCAAAATCATTTGCGAAGCACTCAACCTGTCGGCGATCAGCCACAACCCAACAATGCAATCGAACATTAATCTTAATCATTTGTTTCTTCTGTAAAATTCATAAAGAAAATCCGATTTTTTCTCATATTCATTGTTCACTTAATGGTTGTGCTCACCCACTGATTCCTTTGAATTTGTACTCTAATTGAGCACGCTTAATATTTCAGTAAGTTCAGAAAAGCAATTCAAAGATGGGCGGATGGCTTTCATCGGAAGAAAAGAAGATTGAAGAGGAACACAGACAGAGAATGGAAAAAGATTCTGAACAACGTCAAAGAGACGAGGAACAAAAGAAGAAGGAGATAGAAGACGTTGGTTGAAACTTTATTTTCATTTTTTTAACAATAAATTTTTAGAAACGAAAGAAAGAATTGGCAGAGGAGCAAGCATCTATTGACGTTGAACTGAATGCTGAAAAACAAGAACGTTTGGAAAGAACAGCCGAAGAGGTGAAGAATTTCAACGAGATGAAAAAAAAGATGCAAAAAAAGATAGATGATCTTCAACGCGAATTAAAAGAGCAAACCAGGAAAATAGTTGACGAGCAGAAGACAAGTGGGATGAATTTGGTTACGGATGGGAAAAACAAATTGAAAGAAGACAAGGAGCTACTTGTTAAGAAGAACGAGTTTATGATGTCTGGTAAGATACAGTATCCTTCAAATACAGAAACGGAGAATCTTTTTTTAAGAAAATGAGAGGCTGACTGAAGCACGACGTCAAGAAATTGAGAAACGAAAGGAAATGGTTCAATCGAAGGAGCAACTGGAAATGGATAGATCGGATAAACATTTTGAGGATTTGAAGAAATTAAATACCGAAAAAAATAATGTAGTGAGAGATGGAGAAAATAAGATGACACAGCTTTCGGAGAATCTGAGAACGGTCCAAAAAGGGATCAAACAGCAAGAGGAAGATTTTTTAAAAGTTCAAAGTAAGATTATAAGGGCAAAAATGAAAATTCAGGATTCGTTTAAAAAGTTTTTACTAAATACATTAAACTTTTCGAAAAAGGTCTTTATCATTATTCGAAAAAACGACGGGTATATTCCAGTATAGCCCCCCGAAACACTCCAATATAACACCCCTGGCATAAATGTTGGAATACACCCCCACCCACCATCTTTCATAAGGTGTGTGGGGGTTCAAAAAATGTTTTTCCTGATTTTTTGCCTGAAGATCAAACGTACGCTGCCAAATTACGCATAGAAAAATATCTATTAATTATCGATTTTGCCCCGGTTTTTTGTTAGTTTTCTTTAGATTTCCGCGTTTTTTCTATTTTTTTCTCAATTTTTCCTGATTTCTGGTTTATATTACCGTACATTTTTTTGTCATTCTACTAGAGAAATAATTATTTTATGCCGGTCCCAACAAAAAATAGGCTTAGGCAAAAACCCGGTAGAAATGTTGAAGATTCAAAATAAAAATAAGCTTAGCGCCCTAAATCGGCATATACCTTGAAAACAAGACCCCTAGAAATTTTTAGATTTCAAATAAGCCCGGGGGGTTATAATGAAAGATTTCCACGGATTCCAATATAACCCCCCCCCCCCACACTTTTCAACGGGTGGGGGGTTATTCCAGTACGTGGGGGGTCGTAACTGTGTTGGGGGGGGGGGGGGTATAATGGAACTTTCCCAAAACAACTTGAATAATAGAAGGGGGCGCCGGTAGTTCGCGGCCCTCCGGAGGTATCTTGGAACAATAGAAGGACTGGTCCTTCTTATACAGGTTTTACAGAATTAAAATTTTCAGTGGGCAATGCTTACGATCTACTTGCGATTCATCATGAAGAACAACAGTTTGATGACTTCCGAAGAAAGGGCATGCGCAGAGTTAATCTCTCCTCAAGAATTCGATCGGATTTTGATAAGGAAGAAGTATCCATCAACACGACTCGAGAAGATATCGAGAGAGGAGTTCCGTTGGTGAGCAATTTTACACAGTAACTTACTCCCTAATAGACATGTACCTGAGTTAATATGAAAGGCAATATGCGCTACAAACTATATTTCTGAAGTTTCAGAGTAGACAACCAGACTTTTTCGATGTTTCATTGAGTATCCGAAATCTTATGACGGAAATGTCCAGTTTCGAACTACAAGGAGCCGGCGAAATGGATAAATACGAGACGATTCGTAAAGAGATTATTTCATTGTTGGAGAAACTTACCACTGCTCTCAATGAAATGGAATCCAGAATCGAAAGATACACCAGCCAAGGTCCAACGCATTCTAATGAACAGAGGAATGATAAAAGGCAAGAATTCAATACGGTATGTTCATGAGATCTCGTGTATAGTTTCCTCTAAACCAATTCTACAGGACTCCGACTCAGACGACACGGATATTACCTCCGAAATCCCAACTCCGCCGGCTTCTGTTAGAAACGAGCCAAAGTCTTCCGATCGTAGAAACTTCAGCATTACGGAACAATACAACGAAGTGAAGACAGTGATGCGAAGTTTGAATGATGCGATTCTCAAGGTTTTCAAATTTTTTTCAAAACTTTAGATTCAAAAAACAACGCTGTAAATTTCAGCTCAACGTCCCTGCATCAACAGAATTCGAAGATACGCTAACAAGACAAATTGAAGGCTTGACAATTTCTCATTCACAAATCGTTGGACAAATCACAAGTGGAGTTGTTCCAAGCACTTCAGATGAGCCTAGAAGAATCACCGATACACCGTCAACAAGTTCATCCCAACCAGCCATCGAGGAGGTTGAAAAGTCTGAAGATGAATCTGGGAGCACATAATTTACTGGAGATTTTTTTATATTTTTTGACTCACATGTATATAATTTCTTCTAATTTGTTCATCGTGTTTGCAGAAAAAATTCATTTTAATGAATACTTCTGAATTTATTTTTCTTAATTTCAACATTTTAAAGAGGGACTCGGACCAAACATTTTCATTAAATTGAAATTTTTTAAGTTGTGTATTTTTCTAATACTGTTGTGACAAAATTCGAAAAAGAAACGACCGAAATCGGGAAAAACTCTGAAAAATTGCATGAAAATATGTACACATTACATTTTGGACTAGGATTCGCGCAACCCTCTTGGGCGGAGCGCGCTTTCTTTTTTGATGGCTTTTTTTGGGAATTTCTTTTTTTCTGAATTTCTTCTCAATATTATCAGAAAATACATAATTTTGCGAACATTTTAATGCAATAAGAAATTCAAAAATGTTTTGTTCGGATTCCCTTCAAGCTACTGAAGAAACCGTATAAATGAAAACGATTTATTGTATCAGTGAGTTAAAACGAAATTTGAAAAAAAAACGATATCAGTCTGTATTCTATTTTGGTATCGCCTTCTTGATTTCTCTCATTTCTTTTTCTGAAATTTCATTCTTATTCTTCTTCTTCTTCTCATTTTCCTTCTTTAGTGCTTCTTCTTTTTCTCTTCTTCGTTGCTCTTTCTTCCTTGTTGCTGATAATTGTCGAATTATCTTTTCTTCCTTTGCTTTTTCTCTTTTTTCTCTTTCCTCAATATACTTATTTTTCCTTAATTCTTTCTCCTGCTCCAACTTTTTCTCCTCCGCCCATTTTATCAACTCCCCTTCGGCATGAAATGGATCTTGATTGTGTAAATTCAGCAAATCCATATATTCCTTATCCCCATCTTTGATTTCTTGAGCTTCTTTTTTCCACTTCTCATCTTGTTCATATTGCTTCATCGATTTTTCAAATCTAATTTTCTCTCTTCCCAATTCCAATTCAAATAGTTTTTTTTTTTCCCACGAAGTTTGAAATCCAGTAAACCAAATTGTGTCTATTATCATGACGACAGCGAGAGCTCCAAGGGAACCAGCAATCACAAAATACCAATGATTGGACGGGAAATCTGAAAATCGAAAACAAAAAAATCAGATGGGTCTTGAAAAACTGGCAATCTTCTAGAATCGAGGAACGAAAAAAAATCACGGAAATAAAAATAAAATCACGGAACGAAAAATAAAATCACGGAACGAAAATTTTGGGTAATCCAAAAAATTGCTATCTTCTTTACTTTGACAAGTAGTATCCGTAATACTAAATTTGACATCAATTTTACTTTGTCCAATACCCAAAAGTATACTAAAAAAGGGTTTATCAATTTCTTAAGATACGCTAGGTTACATAGGACTTGTAGAGCATCTGAAAATTCAGTTTAAAGCTATATCGAGCAGTTATTGAGGTTGCTGACATTTTAGGGTGTTCCAGATAAAAGAAGCATGGCGTTTCAGCCTAAGCCTGTGATTGAAATAAAACTTCCTCAATCTAAAAAAATCATCCAATTTTTGAAAAATGAAAAATCGGAGGCAAGAAATTTCATGCCAAGATTTCTACTCAATTTGGACCAAGACTATTCTAATTCCGGACCAAGATTTTGTTCCAAGAAGACTAATTTTGAATTAGAAAAGATTTTTTCAATTATAGACTTAGGCTGAATCATCGTGTTTCCTTCATGGGGACACCCAAAAAACGACGGCAAGTTTAATAACTCTGCTCGTTGCAGCCTCTAATCTAACTCTCATATGTCCCATGATCCTCAGAACATCTGGGAAAGGTCCTATGTAACCTTTTAACCATGTACACTATCAACTAGTGTACCTTAAGAACTCAATATACCACATTTCGGGTGTCATTTTGGCCCCTGAGCAAAGAAAATGTAATGTCACGGTTAGATCTCAGGATAGTACTTGAATGAAGGCCCTTGCAATTTTTGTATTACACAAAATTTTCGTTCCGTGATTTTATTTTTCGTTCCGTGATTTTATTTTTCGTTCCGTGATTTTTTTTCGTTCCGTGATTTTTTCGTTCCGTGATTCTAGAAGAGTGCCGAAAAACTCACTTTCTTCCATAAAATGTAGATCAAAATAATCTGGACTACAAGGATCAATTGAGTGGCCGGCTGCAGCTAGGAAGTCAAGAAATTGTTGAAATCTGTGTATTTGAGTTTTTGGGCTTGCCTTCGAAATAATATCTTACATATTTCCACTTTTCCTCATTTTGAATGGATAGTTGTCGTGCCAAAAACTAACTAATGGATGTTAAAAATAGTGATTTTGAAAATTTGTATATCAGAGACTTACCATAGATCCATTTAAAACTCGGAGATCTCGAAATTCTAACGAAGTCAGATAATAATTATGTTCAAGTTTTAAAAGGGGTCCGTGATTTGGATGAATGGCTAGGTATTGGAGGGATTTCATGACCGTAAATCTTTGAAATGTGTTTTTTCTCAATATGATTCCATTTTGAACTCTTTTGATGCTCTCTAGTCGTTTGCCCACATCGGTGTGTCGGGTGATTTCTTGAATTGAGATCTTTTCAGTATCCGTCAATAAGATACACAAAAACGTATTCCTCAGTTGATTTTCGGCCATTTTCAGGAGCTTGGCTGTCAAGTTTCCGATCATTTGGGAAATTTCGGAAAGTTGAAAGAAGACCTAGAGGGAAAACTTTGCATTCATAGAATATTTGGAAATTTCCCAGTTTTTCAGCTATTTGCCGGTTTCTGAATGAGACCCCTTCCTTGGCCCGTTTTGTACTGAAAATTGGAAAAACAGGTGTCCTTGAGAAATCAGCAAACAGCTGAAAACTAGAACTTTTCAAACACTTCTGAAAGTACAAAGTTTTCAATCTAGGTCTGTATTACACCCTCCAAAACTTTCAAAGCGATCGGAAATATGACAGCCGTGCTCCAGACTCCTGAAAATGGTCAGAATGGCCTAAAATCGACAGAAAAATACGGTTTTGTACATCTTATTGACCGCTACTGTATAGAGAAGTTGATCGAAAACCGTTGAAATTATATAGTTACCGTAATCAAAGCCCTCAATTTTTAATGGAAGTCCAATCACATTCTCACAACCCATCGGTATACTTTCCACTCTTCCACCGTAGCATACTGTAGGCAAAGTTTGTTTTCAATAAATTCTAAAAATTGAGTTACATTTCGAATAACTTGATGATCCTTCTAAAAATAAAATTTGAACAAAAATATATATAAGTAGCAGTTTCATTTGTTTAAAATTGGAGTTTATTTGAATTATTTAATTTTTCAAATTTATTAAATTTTTAAAAAATCTGAAGCCACGATACTCAACGTGTTAGAGATTTCAGGATTTCATGCACAACCTATTTTTAACAAACGAATGTAAATACAAAATAGGAAAATGAATATAAAAACAAAATAGAAAATTGCAATACTTCTATTTCCCAAATTCCTATTTCACACATGAAAAATGAGCGATCTTGTTATTAACCAAAAGGTTCTACCGGACATTTCAAAATCGAAATGGGACCAAAACACATATTCAGGTGGACCACACTACTTTCGTCGAGATATGTATCCAAAAAACAATTTGCAGGTCGTGTCAAACATTATTTTGCATCAGCCAACCCGATGACCTTATTCACGTCCTCAGCCACACAAGAAAAATGTCGAAAGATAGTTTTGGATTACAAGAAAGGAGTAATAAGTCCCGACCTGACAATGGATCAATTGTGGAGAGCAAAGATACTGTACGATTCGATGTATCATCCAGATACCGGAGAGAAAATGTTCTGCCTTGGAAGAATGAGTGCACAGATGCCAGCTAACATGGTGATCACCGGATTGCTCCTCAGTTTCTACCGTACCTGTCCAGGAGTCATATTCTCTCATTGGATCAATCAATCGTTCAATGCAATTGTCAATTATACAAACAGAAGTGGGAATAGTAAAACTACGAATCAACAACTATTTTACTCGTACTGTTTCGCTACTGGAGCGGCGACAACGGCGGCTCTAGGATTGAATATGATGGTTAAGAACAGTCATGGATTAGCGGCAAGACTAGTTCCATTCGTTGCAGTGGCTGCTGCAAATGCTATTAACATTCCCATGGTTCGAGCGAAGTGAGATACGCGAATACCGATGGAAAATATAGAAACATTAACTTTAATTTTATTTCAGCGAGCTCATAGACGGAATCGAGCTATGTGATGAAAACGATCAACTCGTCGGTAAATCTCGCCAGCTGGCTGCTCTTTCTATTGCTCAGGTCACATTGAGTCGAATCGCAATGGCTATGCCAGATATGGGTGAGAAATCACATGACCATAAAAATACCAATTATCTTTTTCACCAATTAACATTTTTACAGTGCTCAGTCCTGTGATCATGAATCGATTCACCCGAACTGCATACTACAAGGCTCGTCCGTTGATTCAAAAATATTCGGAAATGCCGATTCAAACATTTTTGACTGGAATTGGACTCTACTTTACTACTCCATTGGGATGTGCTCTATTTCCACAGAAGAGTGCAATAGAAGTGTCAAAATTGGAAGCATCTGTTCAGAAAGATATTCTAGCTAGAGATCATGCACCAAAAGTTGTTTTTTACAATAAAGGGCTTTAATTTTTTTTATGCATTGAATGTTTTTATGTTCAAAAAGAAGTTTTGAATTTTTGAAGTTTACAATTTTTTAAATTTCCGAATTCATGATTTCAAAAGTTCAGAATTTTGAATTTTTGAATCTCTGATTTTCAGAATTTAAGAATTCCAGAATTTTAGAATATCACAATATCACAATTACACAATACCAGACACCCAGAATCACAATTTCGGAATTTTCCAAATCTCAGAAATTCAGAATTTCGAAAATTTAGATTTTTTGACATCTGAAATTTCAAAATCTCATAATTTTCAGAATTTCCGAATTTCGGCATTTGTTATCAATGCTTTAGTGCAAATTCATGACTGCCTAAACACAAAATGACAATCAACAAATCAAAAAAAATTCAATACAAAAAATTTTCATTCAATCAAATAAATGCCGATTGCCAACAGTTTCCCGAATCCACGACTTTTGTGATTACTTGACTTTTCGAAGAGCTTTTCCTTCGTGATCATGTCCGATTTCGTGGGTCTGAGTCTGTTCAACAATCTGAACCTGACGAGCACTACGTCCAGTTGACATGGCACTTTTGGATGGAGTCTTCAATCCTGGAAGAGCCTGACGATACTGAGCAGCGATGTTTCTAACATCGTCATTCATCTGAACAGATGGTGGTTACATTACCTGAAAATCGTCAAGTTCTTCAGAATCCCTCAGAATTCGTAGCTCACATTGGTAGCCAAAGCTTGCTTAGCCCATTGTTTGGCATCAATGGATTCAGGACGCTCAACGACAAATGTGACTTTTCCTTTTTCTTGAAGATTCTTGACGAGAAGATCTCTGGCGACATCCTTATCAGTGACAGGAACACCATCCACGTCACACAAGTGATCTCCAAGAACAAGACACTTCTCAGCCAATGTTCCAGGATCAACGCGAGACACGAGAACTCGGTTCTGGAAAATTCTAGATGAAATTCAAACAAATGAACACTGCTGCCAACCTGGAAATGATTGATTCCCAATCCAAGCTTTGGGCCGTTCTGAACCCAGACGAGAGTAGCCAACTCGTAGACATATCCTTCGCGTCTTTGGATGATCTTGGCACGATCGGCAGGAATATGAACACGGGCTTCGAGCTCTTCAGCTTTCTTGTCATCACGGTTTACGATGATTTTGGCACACGGGGCTGCGAAACGAAGAGCACGGAAGAAGTCATTGCAGTCCTTGCATTTGACTCCATTCACTTCCTTCACTTGATCACCGATCTGGAATTCATATTATCGAAAATTAAGATTTGCCACAATTAATATTGGAGCGCATTAGCCACAACCACAATTTAAAAGAAAACAAAGGAAAAAAGGGTTGAAATAGGAAGGCTAAAAGTGGGAGTAGAAGGGTAGGGTAGAAGGGTAAAAAATAGATACTGGAGGTAGTTAAAACGTAGCTGGGTTCAAACTTACTCTCAATTTTCCTTCGGCAATAGTTCCTGGTTGAACCTTGGTAATGACAAGCTTGTCATTTGGAGTTGCACCAAGTGGTTCTCCCTCCTCCATGTCAACTCGAACCTCGATCATCTTCTCGGAAGTCATTCTTCCGTTCTTCTTCTTCCTTTCAGCTTGGGCGAGATTACAGATCTTATCTGAGATAAGCGAGGTCATCACAATTCCAAATGAAATTTAATAACATGTGGGTTAATGTATGACCGTAAAAATCAAAAAGTCCAGAATATCATAATTTAAAAATTTCTGAATTTCTGAATTTCTGAATTACCGATTTTTTAACTTCTGAATTCCAGAATTGGTAGAATATAAAATTTCGAGAATTGATTGTAGAATGTTAGAATGTTTGAGAATTTAAGATTTTCAGTTTTTTTTCGGATTTATTTTCCGTTTTGACAGTAAAGACAAAACGATCAGATGAGAAAAAATTTATTTACAGAGAATATTTTAAAATCAAGCATCCAGATCAATGTATATGTGACGGACGTCTGGAAGATTTTGGCTCAAAAAGGCCACCACATTCTTATCCGCTTCTGGAACATTCCCGTACTCCACATGCTTAGGATCCGATGACATCTTGACGTAGTGAGTGATTTCGTTCTGCTTTTTGTACGGAAGTTTTCTAGAAATTATAAAATGTGCTACCGTATCTTTTTAGAATTGTTGTGGCTCACATATTCCTCTCCGGCATAATTGCATTTTGATGGAGAATGAGTGCTTTCAGGTTCGGGAACAGTTCATCAATCATTTTGATATGTTCCCTTGAGAGAAAGCATCCACGAAGATCCAGTTCCTCAACATTCTCCAGAAACTTCGAGGCTGACATTCCGGTGGACTGAAACTTCAAGTTTGGTCAGTTTCAGCTGCACCACATTACCTACCAATTCAATACACTTAACCAACGAATTCATGTTGATGCTTGCCACGCGACACAAACTCAATTTACGCAAATTTCCCGGCTTGAACAAATAGAAAACAGCCGAGAGTTCATCGAGTATTCCTGACAAAGAAGTGAGTTTCCATTTGGATTCCGACAGTTTTGGAAACCAAATCATCAGTTGGGAAATTGAAATGCTTCGTTGGCTTCTCCAATAGGATTCCACTTCCTGGAAATTAAATAATAGATAAATCTGAAAAAAATAGTACAACTCACATCGTGTGCATAATAACAGACTTTTCGAAAATTGGCATGCTCCTCCACAGACATTTTTTCCACAATCGTACGCATCACATTCGATGGAAGGAGCTGAAGACCAAGGAATTCTTCCTCTGCCTGCCATTTTCTCTTCAACTTCGGATGCTTTTTCTTCTTCATATTTTCTTCGGACTCTTCTGTTTCACTTATTTTTCGCTTCTAAATTTTCTAGAATTGGAGAGAACTGGGAAAAACGAAAACCAACCAATGGCATTTTTATTTCTCCACAATGCTCTCCCAAGTAGACTAGAAATGACCGTGAATTGCTGCTCGTTTTTTATGTACGGGAGGTTAAATAAATTTGGATTTCTTTTTTGATCGACTTTTATGATTAAAAACATTTGATGGTTTACGTTTTTATTGGTAAAAAAAGAATATTAGTTTGTCGTGACTGGGTTAGAGAATGCTGATATCCGATACTCTTTTTCTTACATCTGGCGCTGATGGTCTTCTGTTTATCGATTCTGAAATGATTATTTCCAAAATTAGGGCTGAAACGACTACTGGTACTTTGATCCAATTTATCTTGGTTCCTGTCAAAGATATCAAAAAGTTGTCAACTGATAAACTGCTAATCATAATACCACAAACATTTTACCAGTTGACACTTTTTTTTATAATTGCTTACTTTTGAAAATATTGGAATATTCCGATACGATTAGCATGAATGCAACAGTTTCTATCGGGGGATAAAGACTAAAAACTGCGTAAATGAATCCAGTTTGAAAAGTGAATTTGACATCGAAAAATGGGGAAAAAAGAACTGGAAGAGCTGGAAGATGAAAGAGAACCGTGGGGAGAGTGATCTGAAAATTCATGGTTGATTTCTAAGAAAAAAAAAATATCGAACCTGAACGACTAATGCTTTGAAAAATTGTTGCTGTAGTTTCCGATTCGGAAGCGAGAAGTTTTTCAGCTCCTTCTTCATTTTCCTCTGCATCTGGATACCACAAAAGATGATCACTGCGTATTGAAATCCCAATATTATCATAGCACCAAACAAAAACACCAAATTAAACCATCTGACAGAGCCATTGGCATTCTGAAATGTCACCTGGTCATTGTGCTTTGAATGGTTAACTCACATAAGCGATAACAATGAATCTGGCTGTTTTCTCGATTTCCAAGTTGTAGACACGAAATAGCTCTTTTCTAAAAGAAAATATGTACAAAAATAATTAATTTGTCTACCCGGAAGCTCACTTCATATAATCATCGGAAAATGGTTCCGGTTGAGCACAATAATGAACCATCATGCCGAAGGTGATGCAGAAAAAGAGAGGATAAAGGATCCAGATGACGAAATTGAATCCGGAGAAACTGGAGAGGAGGGTTTTGCGGCTAAAATCTTTGAGTTCTACAAATTCTGAATTCTGAATAACTTACTTCATCAACGTGGCAAACCGAAACACAAACTGAACTGCAACCATACACATGATACTGGCGTAAGCCCCAGAGTAGGCTTCGATGAAGAACTTGAGCAGTTCGTTGGATGCTCCCAAATAGTCATTTAGACTGAAATAGATGAATCCACCATTGTAATTGTGTAAATATGGGTGAGCCAAAACTTCCAGACAAGAGAACGAAATACAGATTAGAGAGAATAAAATGATCAAGTATTTGTATGCTCCAGTGATTCTTTCCGTTTTAAAAGCGGTCAAATAAATTAGAATCGCATTGAAAAGACAAGTACAAACGAAACCGACACGGGAAAAAATTTCAGCAATAAACGGAAGAACGGTTACATTCGACATGACCACCATTTTCCAGACACCCACACGGTTAAATAGGCAAAGGCTAATCTGTAATTTTCTTTGGTTTTTTCCTGTCTCGTTGGGGTTTTTTATTATTGCCAAAAAAACAAGAATTAGATTGAGTAAACGTTGTGCATTTGGCCCTTTTTGAAGGAGGTGAGGGGTGGATTGGATCAAGTGATTGTTGATCTGATTTATTACTTCATAAATTGAATTGAATGAATGATGTTTGTCATGCAGCATGATCAAAATTATTCGATTTATAAGAAACTAGAGAATTTTGGGAAGGGTTTAAGTGAGTGCAAAATCTCGTGAGTCTTCAATTTGGAGATTGAGCTGTTTGCTTTACTCCATCTTGGAAAATATGGGTCCGGCCTGCAACTTATCCGACGCAGACTGGCCCGATGAATTTTTAAGAGATCCCGCCGGGCCAAATAGTGAACTTACCGTAAACCTATTATTAGAAGAGCCCCTCTAATAGAAGGGCACTTTGTTTCAATTCCCAAAACTTTTAATTAAAAAATAAGAGTAACACCTGCTTTTCCTGGGTGCAAATCAGAACTTAAAACTAGAATAAAAAGGACTCTCAGCCCGTGTCTAAAAGCATTATCAACTCCTCGTTGTAGTTCATAAAGGAAGCATTCAAGTTACCAAACAATTGTAAGTAAATCTTTATTCGAGAGAAGAATGTCTAGCTAAATATAACTTCCGTGTGGAGGTCAAAGTTTATAATGAAGATTAAAATGGCTACAAAACCTAAATTATGTAATGTAGGAAAAAGGTAATCGAGAAGCTTGTGCAGATGGTTTAGATGACTTCAGATATCCGCAGAGTTCTGAAATAATTTTACGGTTGTCTAAGATTCTAACAATCAATTTTTTACCTCCAATAATAACTCTGTATTCCTTCACAATCCACATAAAAGCAATACTATCGATTGGTGGATACAGATTCAGTAGCACGTAAATCATTCCAGTTCGTATACTCATTTGGACATCCAAAAGTGGTCCAAGTAGAATCGGTGCAGCTGGAACTACAAACAAAGCAGTTGGAGCTAGTGTTTGGATAACTAGAGCAGTGAAGAATTGCTTCTGAAGTCGGCGATTGGGTACGGAGAAGGTTTTGAGTTCTTTTTTCATAGTGAAGTGCATTCGCAGGCCACAGAAGATAATAATCATGTACTGAGAACCCATTACAGTAATCGAAGTGAGGAGATAGCAACAATTACGCCATCTCAAATTCCCTTCGGAATCCTGGAAATTGGTAGGTTTGTGAAGAAAATAAGAATGAACTTTTTAAAACTAAATGTTGTCTGTCTCGGAAAACTAGAAAATATTTGATTTGTTGAACTTGTTTTTATGATTCTGGTAAAATTGGAACGAAAGTCTCACAAAGACAACTACAGTAACCTAAAAATATGTTTATTGTCCTACTTATTTTCTCGTTTTTCACCGATTTTGTCGAATCGGCCACTTTTCCTCAAAATTCGATAAAAATTCAAAAAGTTGACTGAAAACGCAAGAAAATCGAGAAAATAAATCCGGAAAATAATTTTTTAAAGGTTACTGTAGTTCTCGTAGTGGGACCTTTGGTCACGGCCACCGGCGTTTCTTTTACACAGCTCCGATTTTTTTTCAGATAACTTACATAAGTCACAATAGCGAATCGAGGAAGATCCTTAATAGCCAACCCGTACTTTTCAAGAATCTCATTCTTCAGATACTCATCAGAATACGAATCAACTAATCCAAAACAGTACAAAGGTCCTCCAAAAGCAGCACCAGCCAAAAGTGGATACATCATCCAAACTAGAACTCCTTTCCCAGTGAACTTTGTTATGAGTGTTGGTTTGAATATAGTGACATAACGGTAGATGAATTGAACAACTATGAATGCAAGAATGACAAGATAGAAACTACCGTAGGCAACTATGGCAAACTGAAGAAAGTCTTGAGAATAATCGAAAGCAGCGCTAAGACTGAAATACAAAAATCCCTTGTTGTAGTTGTGAGCGAATGGTCTCGCAACGATTTCCCATCCGGAAAATATGATTCCCATTGAGGCGAATACAATGACCATGTACTTGTAAGTACTAAAGATTCTTTGAACATGGAATGCGGTGAGGAAGATTAAGAACAAATTCACAACGAAGGCAGCTCCAAATCCACATTTTGTAAACATGTACGATATTTCGTGAAGTTCAATCATTTGGAGATATTCGATGATAACAAAAGCAAAACTGGCAAGCAAGCAAGAAGTTTTTAAGCTTATAAGCTCCCTTGAGTCCAGATAGTTCTGGTAATTCAGAGTATAAACAAAAATGTTTTCAAACAGTAGGTCCAATGGGATTGCATAGGTTATCGCACTTCTTGAAGTAAACTATCTCAAGTAAAAATATCGAGAATGATGTTGTCACTATCAAAAATGGAAGGTGTCAACAAAGCGAGAATAACTAGATTTCTTTATAAATTGTGTTTTAGAGAAAAAAGAGTCATAGAGTCATAGCCTTCAATTATAGATAATTGCAGTCTGCATTGTGATTCAGGGTTTCAAAATGATGTAGGAAAAACATTTTTTGTTTGATCTAGCTGGTTGAGGAAGTTGAAAAAAGTTGAATACATATTTTTTCAATTTAAGCGTTTTTCAGAATATTTTGCAGCTGCACCGTCTGAGTTCAAAGAATTCTGAAAGAATATTTCTGGATCTGGATAAACTAATTAGAAAGTTTCCAAAGCTTTTGCAGGGCTTTTCAATGAAAATGACTCAAAAAATGCAACCTCTTTTACAAGGTGAATGAAAATGATTTTGTGACAGAAATACACTACTACCGTAATCCTTAACAAGGTTACCCTAAATTGAGAGTTTATAGTGTTTCATTTTTTGAGAATTTACAATCAGCTCTTGAGATTCTGAATTTCTGATATTTTGAGTTTCTGAGATTCTGAAAATCTGAATTCATGAGATTTTGAGACACTGATCTTGACTTCTTGAAGACATAGAAAAATATCGATTACTTTCCGGACAACCTAATAGTTGTTTCTTGTTTTCTTTTTTGACTTTCAATTTCAAAAATTTCAAAATTTGTTCCATTTTCCAAACCAGAACAGCAGTGTAATTCACGATTTTCCTCGAATTTCAAAAAATTACAACTTTCTAGATTCTTCGAAATTCCTAAAATTTCCAAGACTTCCGAATTTTTGAACATTCGGGTTTTTGAAGATATCCTGGGATTTCCTTTGATCCCAATAGAGTTCTCTCAATTTTTCGAAAATTCAAAATATATATGGTTTCAGGAGTAAGAACTATTAAGTTGTTCCGAAAGTCTTTTACATTTTTTGACATTTTTTCAACACAAATTTATTCAACGTATGAAATATTTCAGTGAGTAATATATTCAGTATTATGGTTCATCACAACCTGCCAACGTTTTGCTAGATGATCGAAGCCTCTCGTGTAGAACACGGGTGGTTGTTGCGCGAAGGTGGCATCCATATACGATTTGGGGTCCGATCTTCTATCGAAGCGTTCACCCTGTTAATCATTCTAAAGCAATCGGATTAAATAAAGTTCTGATAGAGCGAGGTTTGGACTATATGATGGATAACCGAGTATTTGGATACCTAGACCCTGCATTTTTTGGCGAGTGGCCAAAGTCGTGTGCAGGTGCGCATTATCGTGAAGCAGAACAAATGTGTCCGCTTCTGGACGCAGAGCACGACACGTATTGAATACTTTTTGCAGTTGGCGACAGTACATGTCCGTAGTAACGGTCGCACATTTGGGAGCAAGCTCTCTATAGATCAGACATGACAATACCACCAAATTCTCAACATCTCCCTTTATTTAAGAATTTCTCCTTTGTGATTGATTTCTGGAGTTTGGCAAACCTTGATCCACTGAAGCTTTCTGTTTTTTTCAACCTACAGACACCTTTTATTGTTTGCTAACACAAGATAATGGATCCCATCAAAGGTTCGCTTACGAGCGAGCAAAGACTAGCTTACGAGCGAGCAAAGTGAGCAAACTCAAGTAACAACTAGTTTTAATCGGTGAATCACTGAAATAGTGTGGCACCAGTGGACCATATTTTTCTCTATGTCCCGAACTTCAAAGATGATGAAATGCTATTATAGTAGGTAGACCGAGAGTAGAAGAAACTTTATAAACAGCGAGTCTCGGCTCAGCTTCCAGGGCTTTCCAGATATCGGCGTCGACACTTGAAAATAGGTGATAAAAATCGGGTTTCTTTTTGAGCGAATATCCGCTGTTCCAAAAGCGATTGAACCAAGGTCGCACTACAAGATACTCAAGTGACTTATCACCAATTACGGAGCATATAGATCAATGAGCAGGGGCATCGGATCCTCCTTTGAGAAACTCAAAAAGAAGGCAACCTCAAACATCATGGGTTTTGTTGGCGTGGCTCTCGGCCATGGACTGAACATGAGTTAAAGATTCTTAAAACAAAAAAAAGAAAACGAAAATCGATCGGCAAGAATGTATAAAATGCGTGCTCAAAAAATGTAAAAGACTTTCGGAACAACCTAATAGTAAAATGAGAACTGGTACAAATGACAACTAATTGTAAAGAAACTATAATAGAAAAGAAACTTTGGCTCCAAGTTGTTCCTCCAACTGTTAGTTCAAAGCCCCCCTTTTTTGGGAAAAACGGTTACAAAACCACCTCTCACTCCGATTTTTTTACCTGTATTATAACTCAAAACTAAGTTAAACAAGCAGAATGAGTGCGTCGGACTGAAACTAAAGAAATTTGTCCGAAAACGCGTTTTCTTTATGTTAGCTTTTAGTAATACATAAGTCAATTAATTTTTAAATAAGTCAATTGATTTTTTGGAAGTAAAAAGTTTCCACAGGTAAATTTAATGAAAAGGCATTAGAACGTTTAAATATCAAAATTTCGCAAAAAGAAAAAAAACGCATTCTCTTTCCTCTACGTTACAAGAGAATATGTTTTTCTGTTTCATCACCACGAAAAAGGAATTTCAATCATCCCGCCTTTCTGTGTTACTCCTGCCCACTTGATCTCAGCTGCTTCCGGTGCTCTTAGCATGACATTGAACGATAGAATTGCCAGCAACGCATCTCGATCCCTCTCCGGACTGTCTTCTTTCATTGCCAACATTGTGATCTTCTGCAAATCCTCCATATTTACCTTCACTACTTCTTTCTTTAGCAGGCTTTCCTCTCTCCTCTTTGACTTGATGATGTCTGACACAAAAGACGCTCCGATGGCTGAAATTCCTTCGTTTGCTGTTTGATAGGCAGCCGAGATCTTCGCCAAAGCACTACTCCCGATTTTCTTAGCTCTGTCCAACAAGTATAACAAAAACGACGACTCATTCATTGGAAGCTTCTTCTGAGAAATCCACGAATTTCTCTTGTCGTTCTCTGCCTTGTAAGCGGCAGCTTTGGACGTAGCTTTGGCTTCAAAGGGGATCATCTTGAGTCTCTCGATGTGGTGTCCGAACTCTTCACCTGCCTTCTGCTCGAGTTCTTCGACGAACTGTCTTTTCGCTCCTTCTGAAAATTATAGTTAATCTCTTTTCCCTCTCATTTCTCTCTTTCTCTCTTTTTTCTCTTTTCCCCGGGTGGGTAGGCTGGGTGACTCGTTAAAACACATAGAATGATTTCGAAATTCGAGTTTCATGCCCGCTCGGGCATGATCGCTTCGAGACCCGCGGCGCCTGGAAAGTGTGTGCGCCTTTAATCTCGCGCGTCCTTTTTCTCATCACCACGAAAAAGGAATTTTATGTCACATGTTTATTAAATTTAGGTTTAACGTGGCTTCATGTTCTCAAAAAATTATATTTCAAAAGAAAAAACTATTTTTTTCATGGGGTTCATTTAAAAAAATACGATAATTTATCAAATTGATTAGAGTTTAGTAGTGACTGCCTTTCCATGAGTCTGCGCAGTTTCTCGGCTCTCTTCTTTTGTTGCTTTTACAGTGTACCTCTCCTTGGCGTTCACAATTAGTTCTGAAGTTTTTTTTTCAAAGTAATCAAATTGTTCGTTTTTCTTACTCTTCAATGCTCTTCCATATTCCGAAACGCAACTCATCATGATCACTGAGTCGAGGGCTGGATATACCGTAAATCCACTTTGGATGATGCATGATGGGAAACTCATTTCCAAATCAGCAAATGGCGCATAGATCATGAAGAAGACTGGGCAGAAGAGAATTATAGTGGGTGCACTGATCTGGAAATCGAAAATATGTTTTAGTCATCACATATGCTTTCTGATATTAAGCATAATCTGCACTATCTGTTAAAGAAACCAACCTGAATCACAAGGGCTCTGAAGAACTGACGATGAAGACGTCGGTGTTGAGCAGAAAGGACAGCGATTTTAGTACGCATTCCAGAGTACATTTGATGGCCGCAAATGATGATAATCGAGTATTGAACTGTTGAAATCAGAGTCATTAGAGACAATCCATACACATTCCTCCAGCGAATATTGTCTCCTTCGTATGCGATCAAACCAAGAACTGGAATTTCCGTGATGTTTCTTTCGTAGCGAAGAAGGATTTCATCTTCCAGATATTTTCTTCCAAAGTCGTCCATTGCAAAGAAATTACCAACAGCAAATGCCCAGAGAACACCGAAGAAAGTGTAGTACCCAACCCAAATGAAATAGTACCATCCTTGGAAATAACAGAGTTTTGGAGTGTCGAAAATTGCCCAGTAACGGTACATGAACTGAATTGCAAGCATACAGATTGTGGCAGAATAGAGTCCAGTGTAGATCCCCATCATCCATTCCATAGTGAAGTTGGAAAATCCGAGAGGGCGAGAAAGACTGAAGTAGGTCAAACTAGCATTGTAGGTATGAAGGAACTGTAACTGTTGAGATGAAAGTAGGGTGTTGCACACCAAACCGTTCTTTCGGATATCAGCTACCCAGAAACAATTAGGGCCGCTAGGCTTCTGAATCGTACCCATCCTAGAAGTACCCTGACCAAAGAGCCGCAGACATATTTCCGATAGTCCCGAATTTGACTTACCGTATGAAAGAGGAACTCAAACGAGGCGAACACAAATCCCAGAACTTGGAAGTTGACGAGCAGGTATTATAGGACCCGAATTGCCGTTTGATATAGAATAACGTCAAGTAGACGAGGATGAATCCGAAGAAGGCGTTCGAGAAGAATCCGAGATTTCCCATGAAAATCGAGAACTGGATGTACGGTAGATAAGCGGCACCCATGGCTGAGATGTTTTTCTGAAAGGCTTTCGAGATCAAAATGTTGCAAGAGACTAAAAATAGGTAGGTGTGAATTCAAAACATTGGCTGACGTAAGAGAAAAAATATCTCAAAAAAGGAAGAAGAAGGGGTGTTATGACTTCTGGCCCAAATGAAACACCGTCTGAATAAATTTCAAAAGTTTAGAAGGAGGTACTCGGAGACACGAGCCAAATTAATTCCGGTGTGATGGTTTGGCTTTTTCTGATTTGGTAAATGAGTCAAACATCAGGTAGGAGAACGAATAGTGTATTTTAACATAAAAATGGTATGATAGATTGGTCAGAAAAGACAAAAATTGAGAACATCATACCGTATTTCCTCTTATAGGCGCTCACCCAAATTGTCAACTTCTTATAGGCGCTCACCCAAATTGTCAACTTCTTATAGGCGCTCACCCAAATTGTCAACTGGGGAAACGGGATAATTTAGATATTTGACACAGGAAAGATGTAACCGGTAGAAAAAGAAAAATAGGAACATCTAAACTTTGTCAACCGATAAATTACTTATCATAATCACCAATATTTTATCAGTTAACAAAATTTTGATATCTTTTCTGGGAATCGAGATAATTGAGCTCAAAGTTGCCGGTTTGGGTGGGCCTGTATAAGAGGAAATACGGTATCTTCCTTATCTTCCTTACTAGGGAAGGCCCCAACTCGGGTGTGGCGATACGCATGGTGACCTATATCATCTGAAAGCTGACACTCTCCTGATTCCAAATCTGTTTTCAAAAAGTGCATCGTCGCGGTAGTTTTTTTTTCGAGAAAACTGGGTCGAAAGTTTTGAAAAAATAAGTGGATTTTAAACAAAATTTTCCTTCATCACGTATATAAGTTTTGAAGCGTTGAAAAAATGTGGAAGCGTGGTCGAGTGGTTAGTGAGGAGGAATATAAAGTGGGTACTCTCTGGTTCAACTCCCTCGACCTGCTAAACTTTTTCTTAATTTTTTCAATGTATTTTTCCGGTGATTGTATCGGACTTCTGGATGATGTTAAAAGGGACATAGATCATGAAATCTTGTGAAAAATCTTATTTTATTGTTCTTCTGCGTTTAGAACGTGTTTTAGGACATTCAAAATTTTTCAAAAATTTGTAATAATTCCAAGGCGGTAGGCCATGGTGAATTTTTTGAAAACAAAAATTTTCGAAAAAATATGTGCAAATTTTTTTAGATTATAGAGAAACATTAAACATGCAAATTGAATTCAAAAAAAAACAAGGAATGCAGCCATCAACTCCTTCGAAAACTCATTTCAAAAACTAGGAGTACTAATGTCCAAATGTCGGGAGAAATCACAAACAAGTGGTTTGCCTAGAATCTCCAATAGATCAACCTTTGAAAATTGCCAAAGCCGAACTATAAGTTAGCCGAAGAAGCCAAAGTAACCAAAGTTATTTTCTTCACATTGTCCATTTGAAGACAATTATGAGCTCTGAAAGTGATTTCAGTTCATGTTTAACTTTTTTGGACAGAGTTTTTAAATTAGTACATGGAATCATTTATGGGACTTCTGACTCTAATTTGTATTTCGAATAATTCTTTACAATCTAAAAAAAATTTTTTTTCGAAAATTTTTGTTTTTGAAAAATTCACCATGGCATACCCCCTTGGAATTTTTACAAATTTTCGAAAAATTTTGAATGTCCTAAAATATGTTCTAAACGCAGAGAAACAGACTTTTCACAAGATTTCATGACCTATGTATCTTTTAACATCATCCAGAAGTCCGATACAATCACCGGAAAAATACAATGAAAAAATTCAGAAAAAGTTTAGCGGGTCGAGGGAGTCGAACCAGAGAGTACCCGCTTTATATTCCTCCTCACTAACCACTCGACCACGCTTCCACATTTTTTCAATGCTTCAAAACTTATATACGTGAGGAAGGAAAATTTTGTTTAAAATCCACTTATTTTTTCAAGACTTTCGACCCAGGCTTCTCGAAAACTACCGCGACAATGCACTTTTTAAAAACAGATTTGGAATCAGGAGAATGTCAGCTTTCAGATGATATAGGTCACCATGCGTATCGCCACACCCGAGTTGGGGCCTTCCCTAGTTATATATAAAACGCTACACGCGTCTGTCTGTCCTGATGTCAGGCTGTCCGCTTTTGAAAAAATTGAAAAATAAATATAGATTTACGTGACCCTTTAAAAAAATGAAGAGCGGAGCGACGCATCAGTAAAAAAACTAAGTTAAATCGCGCCGAAGGCGCACCAGTCTGCTGGTATATAAAACGCTACACGCGTCTGTCCGTCCCGATGTCAGTCTGTCAACTTTTGAAAAACTTGAAAAAAAAAATTTACGTGACCCTTCAAGAAAAAGGTGAACCGAGAAGCTACGAACCAGTAAAAACTAAATTGAATCGCGCCGAAGGCGCACCAGCTTGCTGGTATACAATAAATCTCCGTTTTGAAGACTATGAGCAGTTTCTACGAAACATTTCATTTGAAAAAATATTAAAAAACAAATATTCTTGCTGAAGTTTGGGAATTGGTTCTTATCTTAAATCATCAACCCTAAACTTTACAAAATTGTTTACGACATCATCAACTTGTCATCAAACCTTTTATTCCATACATCATCCAACATCACTATTCTCTGTTCTTTATTTTTAGACCTCACATGTTCTCAGAAGTTTCGAAGAACAGATCTGTAAGATCTCATGTACTATAGTTTAGCGCCGTTACAAAGAATATGGAAAAAAGTTAATTAAGAAGAAAAGAAGATCTAAACTCCAGTTGTGTGATGTGGGTAGACCATCTGATTATTCGTAGTGCAAATGGGGAAAGAGACTTCTTGAGAGGAATAACCACCGGACATGCAAACTGACTTCATCGATTCAAGAACATATTTTATGGCGTTTCGATAGTCACAAACAATGTAAAGGATGATTGCGATATCAATGGCTGGATAGATGGCAAATGCACTGAAGAGGATTCCAGTTGGGAAACTGAATTCCAGGTTGAATAATGGGAGATAGATTATGATGATCATGGGGAGAAATAGTAGAAACGTTGGAACGACGATCTGAAAGTTTTTAGATAGATAGTTTTTGATTTCAGCTTTTTGAAGAGTCTATTTTTATCTAGCTGTGTTGTTGTTAGCAAAATGTGATTTGGAACTTTTTGGTCTAATGCATTCTTAAACAATGACGCTGCTATTTTCAGATAGAAGTCGTCACTTCCGATTTCCAATGTTCTTGGTCGGAATGATTCTAATGAGATACCAGATTCTAAAAAAAACGAGAAACTAACAAACCTGCAAAACCAAAGACTTGAAAAACTGTGTATGAAGTCTTCGGCTGGTTTCTGACAACATCGAAATCTTCTCCTTCATTCCGGTACTCATCTTCCTCCCACAGAAACAAATAATCATGTACTGCATCCCGATGATCATTGTCATTTCAATGGTGCACATCAAATTTCTCCATCTTACGTCTCCTTTTCTCGTATAGATGACAGAAGTGAAACCGGGAATCGAAGAGAGCTCAAGGCCATATATTTGACGAACACCTTGTTGGAAATAGTCAATTGAGAAGTCGTCAATCTCCAGAAACCAATGGATACCGCCTGCCCAGAGGATTCCAATGCTGAGACTGTAGCAACACCACAGTAGGATTCTCCAGCTCTCGAACCATTTGATTTTAGGAGCACTGCAATAGTGATAGCTTTTTTTGATTCTTGTATTTTAATCATGACAACTGCAACTCACTCAAAAAGTGCCCAGTATCTGTACATGAATTGTACTGCGATGAAACATACTGTAGATCCATAAATTCCACAGAAGAAAACGAGACCAATTTTCATGACATCATTGGAGACTATGGAGGTTTGAGGGTTGGTGAAAAACACAAATCCCGCACTGTAGCTGTGAATCATCTGGATGTCAAGAAATAATGTTTTCGTATTAGAATCACAAACTCACCGGATGAACAATGTATTCAGAAGAGGAGAACGAGAATCCAAGGATCGAGAAAGCGATCAACAAGTTACGGTAAGATCCAAAGTCCCGTTTCACAAAATATATAGTTAGAAAGATGAACAGGAGCACCAGAAGGGAAGTGAAAATGAATCCAACCTTGGCAATAAATCGGGTCAATTCATCCAACTGATAGTACGGCATCGTTTCGGCGCTTGATTCAAACTGATAAGCTTGTTTTTTGTTAAGGATCGATAGAAAAAACATAGCTGAATTCAATTTCCGTCCGTATGTGCGTATATAGATGTTATTGATGTAGACCTCGGGCACAGAGGAGTTACTTGGAAACAATCAACAGTATTGAAGACGTGCTTTAGTAAGAAAATGAATCTAAAATAGTTTTTCGGGGAGGTACTTGCCAAAAGGCCAAAAACGCAGAAAATACAACTTATTCAAGGTAATAAGTGTTCATTGTATCAACATGACGATTTCGCCACTTCAAGACAGAACTGTCTCCAGTATAGAGGCGTTCGGAATGGGCGTTTTGGAATATTTCGGAATGTCGAAAACTCCAAGTTTCACATTCTGGGAGTTTCGAAAATTCGGAATTTCGGAACTCCGGAATCCCACTTTTGCATCACAAACGCGCAATAAATTGACAAACAGATTTCAAAAAGCAAAACAATTGATTCCACTCGAGGCCCGCACGGAAACTTTTCTAGTGCGCCGTTGACATATCGTAGTAGTCCGAAAAGCTATAATTCCGAAAAAAAAACTTCAGGAATATCTAAAAATGGTTTAGTTTAGGACTTCCGTTTTGAACATCCCTGGTTAAGATCTGATGTGAAACAATTTGAGAGAACATTTGCTGTGCATGAATAATCTAAACGATTATTTGAACTTGGTATTGTCTTCCAAGCTCTCGACTGGACAAGTTTCGGTCACTATTGCGCGAGCACTGCTGGAAGGATATTTGTCAGATTCTGAACTAGATCGCTACATTTTTAGACATTAATATACTTTTATTCACAACTTCAAGAATTATGGAAAAATCATAATCAAATCATTAACTTCGTGTCGTCCAACGAGACATCTGACTACCGTCCGCTACATTTGAAACACGCATTGCCCCATGAACTGTCGCTGAGAATCCCTCGAACATGTCTGAAAATTACGATTATGTCAGTTTTTGATTAATTGAAACACACTTTTGATAGCATTCCGATAGTCAGTTAGAATGTACATGACAATGATGGCATCCATTGCTGGGAAAAAGGAGAATGCGCTGAGCATCACTCCGGACGGAAATCGTATTTGGAAATCAAACATGGGTGTGTACATTAAAATGAACACCGGCATGAAAAGAGTTATGGTTGGGACGAGAATCTGGATTTTAATGAAATAAATAATCAAAAATTTTGCAAGATTCAACAAGCCTGGAGCACCAAAACTTTGAAGAATTGAGTGTGAAGTCGTATCATGGATGTGGAAAGCATTGACACAGCCTCTCTTATTTTGAGACTCATTCTCCATCCAAATGTTATGATCAATCCGTATTGAACCATCTGAAAATCATTAAAATTTGAAATCACTTTGAATTGAATCATATTACCATTATCAAAGTCATATTGAGTACGCACATCAAATTGAACCATCTCAATTCGTGATTTTTGTCGAATGCAACTACAGCACACATTGCAATCTCTTCAACTCGTTTACCGTAGTACTGTAATATTTCATCTTCCATATAATCAGTTGACACTTCATCCAAACGAGCGAAAAAGGTGACACCAAGAGCCCATTGAAGACCGAAATAACAGGCATACAGAATCCAGAGTATAAGCTTCCATCCACCAAAAAAAACAGGGACCAATTGGGGACTGTATTATATAGGTGGAATTTTGAAAAAGGGATAAACGTACTGTACAATGGCGAGGTAACGATAAAAGAATTGAGCAGTTAAAAAGGAGATGGTTGCTGCGTAAAACCCAGTGTAGACCACTAAAATTTTAAGTTTTTGATGAACGAAATTTCCGTAACTTACGTAACAAGGTAAAGGAGACATCACTAGGTGCACCGAATGGATGTGAAAAACTGAACATGACGAACCCATAATTATAGGAATGAAAAATGGGATTCACTGCTGCTTCAATCGCAGCTAAAGCGAAACCAAGAACCGAGAAAACAATCATGTATCTTTTGTAGTTGTCATAACTTGTTTTAACGAAAAATACAGTGAGAATCAGAAAAGTTGCCACTGAAATTGTTGTAGAGAAGAAGCCTGCAGATGTAATGACTTTTGAAAGAGTCAACCATTTTGAGAAAGCAATCGTCGTGTTTTCCAACATCTCGAGAACAATGAGATTGTCTAGATTTGCTATTATCAGATAACCGGATGGAAGGAACCGGATGTCATCGTTACCCTTTTTAATAAGATTCTTGGCAGTTATCGTGAACCTTAACCTTCGTTTGTTCCAAGTAGGATGTCTGCTGTAGATCAAAAGAAATGGGTGAAGAAAGCAATGTATCAAGTAACATGGTCTCGAAAACCCATTTATGTTTTTGTTCATAATGAAATAAAACATAGCAACGGATTTATCAGTGCGCTTCGTCGCACTTTCTTCAAAATCGGCTCAATGTTCAATGCTTCGAAACGTTTTTTTGAAAACTAAAGCGTCCTAAGTGTTGTTGAGTCGCTACTCAGCTGGCTACCACGAGAGACGAAGATCTTCAAATATATGGGGTTGAAATCAAAAATGATCCTCATTTCGTAGTTTTAGTATACGTTGGTGATGAATGATTTGATTAATTCAGATAGTTTTAGAATCATGAAAGCGAGTCCAAAACCATCCGTTGGAACAGTATCCAATGCATCGGCACAATTTCTATGCTCATGACTCTACAGCATTCATAATGCTCATCGCGCGTTTGAACATAGATCATTCTGATTAATTTACTGTTTTTTTCAGCGTTCCAAATTGTTCCAGACGTACCGAGAAGGATTATCTAAAAGTGGTTTTGACAGTAGTAGGTTCTCTGACTCTCTGTTTTTTTAATTATAAACTAATAAAGTTATGTATTATTTATCTCTTCAGTTTTTTTTCAACATAACAGGAAACTCCTCCCACTCTACTAAACCACATTTATTATATTCAATTTTCCAGCAGTAAGCCTAAAAAGATGGGTCTCGATTTCACAATTCTTTCGGATCATATTTCTAGATTTTGCTTCATCTCCACAGTTCTCTTGAATTATTCATTAATCCATCTCACCATTTTTCATACCAAACACATTTCCGGAACCTATCAAAAAATGATTGTAACTTTTGCTGTAATCGGGATCTTGTTCTCCACCCTTGATATTCTTGTGAGACCAGTAGGTTTTATTGAAAATTCCCAGCTGAAAAAGAAAAGTCTTTTAGCTATTTCACTCCTACAATGGATGTTTTATTTATTTCACTCTGGGCGGCACTTTCAGAGAATCGAAGCAAGCAGCAGAACTTGGACTCTGTAAGTTCTTTATTAAAACGTTAGAACAATTATTCACTTTCAGTAATATATTGTGGTTTTTACTCCATGATTCTGGCTTTCTTGGCAGTCCAATTCTTATACAGAGCTTGTGTGATTTCAAAGTTAGTGACACTTCAAAACCTTTGAAAATCTAATGAAAAATATTTTCAGCCCTGACTGGGGGAAGCAGTTCGAAGGATGGAAATACAGTCTTTGGCTGGTTTACACTCTCATAGGAGGTGTGATTTGGGCGTACGCTTCTAATATCACACACCCAGATGACGTCACTCTGGAATATATGAGAGACGAAGTCCTTCAAATATATGGGGTTGAAATCAAAAGTGTTCCTCATTTTGCAGTTCTAGCATATGTTGTTGATCAATAATTTAACTAATTCAACGAGTCAGATACTTTCAGAACTATGAAGGCGAGTCGAAAACCATCCGTTGGAACAGTGTCCAATGCATCGGCACGGTTTCTGTGCTCATGACTCTACAGTATTCCATAATTCTTATTTGTGGAGTTGTAATGTATCGGAGAACTCAAGGAAAACTCTTATCAACGTCTTCTCGTTACGAAAAGATGCAGAAACAGTTCTTCATCGCATTGATTTATCAGGTTTCATAACTCCAAAAAAAACCAAAACTTTGAAAGATTCAGATTGCGGCTCCAACAATTTTCTTCCAACTTCCCGGTTTCTTTGTACTGACCTCCCCATTTTACGACATGAAAATCAGTTTTCGATCGGGAATTGTAGTTTGCTTTTTCAGTGTTTATCCACTTGTAGACACACTGATAGTTCTCAAAGTCATCACAGAATACAAACATGCATACAAACGTGGGTGAACATTTGAGACCACCTTGTTGCTGATAATCGGTTTTCAGGATTCGTTAAAGGAATCGCCAGAAAATGCCTCGAGTTTTTGGGCGACGACACACCAAGAGATCAAACCACTGCAAGTGACCGTTTGGCTAAAGTTTGATCTGTTGAGAGTTTTTACTGTAGGTCAGATGGGTTACTGTAAATCTGCTATAGCCTCAGAAAAACATTACATTTCTGAAGGAATACTCTGTTGGCCACAACTTTTCAAAAACCAGATTTCGAAAATATCAAAATTTGAGAATCCGTAATTAGATAGCTTGAATTGCTGTATTTCTCATTTTTCAAGACTTTTGTAGGTCCCTACCAGTGTGTGACTACCGATTGTCACTTACCGGTAACGGCTTTTTCGGTAAGTTTACCGGTAATTAACCGGTAAAAATTTACCGAAATTTACCGGTAATTTACCGGTAACCTACCGGTAAATTTGAAAACTACCGAAAATTTACCGGTATTTTACCGGTAAATTACCGGTAAGTTACCGGTAAATCTCTCTGTGTGTGCGCCTCCAAATGAGGGCGCGCGCTCACGGCTCCATAACTGGCTTCAGAAGAGAGATAGAGCCTTCTGATCTTCAGAATACGTACTGTCCGAGAATCCTGAAGACGTCCCGAGCCACTAAAACTTCCATTCATCATAACTCGGTTCATTTTTACGCTAGAGAGTTTATCTAACCACCATTCGAACGCTCTCTTCAAGCTAAACACAATGAAATCTACTTCAAAAAGGCGGCACATATGGGTTACTTGGTGTCCTGTGTTGGAAGCCACCTCGGCAGATTTTTTAGAGGTTCTTACACGGCTTAATTTTGAAAAGCTAGCTTGGCAGCTAGGCGTGTTATACGTAAAATCATGAGAGGAATCTAATGGTATCGGTTGCCGAGCAAGAAAACTAACACAGAAAAAGTTATTTTTTGGAGCAGAAAAAACCATACTTGCTAAGAATTCCGGCCCAGCCCGGGTAGTAGTGCAGCTCTAAAATGTCGCGGTTCTAAAACGTCGCGGTTCCAAATTTTGAAAAAAAAAGCAGAAAATTTTCCTAGAAATTACCGGTAGTTTTCGGTAAATTTACCGGTAATTACCGGTAATTACGGTAAAATACCGGTAATTTACCGGTATTTTATCGGTAAATTACCGGTAAGTTACCGGTAAAATTACCGGTAATTTTTAAATTCACCGAAACCGTACCGATAGCACACACTGGTCCCTACTGTATCCTTCTTTCACGATTACTGTAGGTGTAGGTATCAGTGGTTGCTGTAGGTTCTTCTAGGACTACTTTTCCAGAATTACTGAAGATCCCTTCAGAAGAATTGTATTCTAGTTTAGGCCTACTGTAGCTATGGTTACTTTAATTTTCTAGAATTAGAGTAGGCCTCTTGAGCTCTATGACCACTGTAGGTTATTGTAGGTCTATGAATCGTTGACAAGTCCGATAATAACACATTTTTGTTGCGTGGGCAAATAGCTTTCTTTCTGCATACGGTAGGTGATTGTGCTTTTATTCGAACAACACGTGTTAATTTCCTCCATGAAATTGATTCAGATTTATTATCATCTAGACGAGACACGACAAGCAAGACCGGAAGTAGGTTACTAGCTGGCTAGGCAATTTAGTAATAAAAACAAACAGTCTGCCTTCATATGAATTAGTGGCTCACGAACGTAGACATCCTCCCTTTAATCTGCTTCCATTTTTTCCGCCCAACTTAAAACCATGGAACTCTTCCAAAATCAATCAAAATCTTACAAGAGTTGGGTCACCATTGCTCAGAGTGTTGCGGAAGCTGGTTTCTGCTCAACTATGGTTTTTTGTGGCATTTTGATTTTTCTAACTATTTTTGGGGTGAAGAGAAATTTCGGAAGCTACAAGTATCTGCTGATTTTGTTCCCAGCTGTTGGCATATTTTTTGCAACTGTAGAACTCATTTTGTATCCGGTAAGAAAAGCTTCATCTGAATATGAATATCTCATAGTTTTCTAGAATGTTCACTCGTTTAACGCTGGCTATTTCTTCTACAGTACCCGCCGTCCGTTTGGTGTTGGAATTGAGATTGTGACTATTCTTATGGCATTCTACACATCCATTTATGCCTCAACAATTTGCATGTTATCAGTTCAGTTCGTTTATCGATATTGGGCGATTTTCGAGTATAAAATTTCGTCTTGATAAACAAGTTTCGATATGCTTTTCAGCGAAACAAAACTTCGATTTTTCAAAGGTTGGAAGTTTTTGTTTTGTGTTGCCTATTCGGTTATCGTAGGAGCACAATGGGGATTATCTATGTATTTTTTCAATCAGATGGATGATTATACAGATCATTACATGAGGTCAGAAATTAAGACTAAAAAACAATTAATTGACTAATTAGGCTCCAAATATTCTTCTTTTCAGAGAAGAATTGTTGTACAGATATGATCTTACCATTACCGAAATCGCAAGGCTCTGTCTGGTTTCCTATAACGAGGATGGATCACTTCGATGGAGGAATAACTCGAGCACAATTGATATGACGATTTTTATGATTGTCCAGTACACAATAGTGATCTACTGTGCCATAGTAATGTATCAGAAAATGGAGGAAAAGCTGAAAATGTTATCAGTTTCCTTGAGAAATCTTCACAAACAGTTTTACAAAACTCTTCTTCTTCAAATCTTCACCCCAACACTTTGCCTGTTTGCGCCTGTTGTATTCATTATTTATCTGCCACTTTTTGACTTGAAAATCAGTATTCCCACGGGAATGTTTCTATGCGCGTTCACTTTGTATCCAGCTTTGGATGCCATGATCGTCATGTATATTGTCACAGATTACAGAAACGCGGCGAAAAGTTGTTTGAAAATAGTTCGACTTCGATTATAAAATTTTTCAGAGATGCTGAAGAAAATTTTCGATTGGATGTACAGTATTCTTAGTTTGAATGAGCTCCCAGAAAATGGTACAACGACTGCTCAAACCAGAGAAACGGCTCTGGGAAGTAGAGTCTGGTCATAAACCATCGGCGCTTTTTCAAAAACGATTTTTTGAAGCTCAATAAACATTATGACAGCTAAAATTCTTCAGTTTCTATTGTTCTTCTTTTTGTTTCACAGCTTTGCTGAGTTACACCGGATCTCATTACAATCAGAAATCAGATACCGTAAAACCTGTAATATAGCGCCATGGCGTTCTATTTTTCGGAGCGGTGCTTTTGGATAATGCGAGGTGACAAAACTTAGCTTTTTACTTGATTAACAGTGTACCAAAATGAAAAAAATGGTGCGAAATTTCTAGATTCCACAGTTACTCTGTTAATCAAGCATGAAAACTATGTTTTGCTACCTGCAATCACCTCTTGAGGGTGTCGTTATATTAGAGGGGGTCTTCTATTACAGATGGCGTTATATTACAGTTTTTACGGTATGCTAGATTCGGGAGTACAAAATACCTGAAAAATTCGAAGTTGGTACTCCTAAGCTGTATATTTTGTATCCCTTAATCACATGTACACCCGAAATGTACACCCGAATCTCTTGACCCTCCGAATTCTGTGCTCTAGTTGTCTCAAAATGCCGGTCTGGTTCCCTGAACTCTCTCTATGATCTTAAGATGATTGAGATCATAAAGCTCACCAAATTTAGTTTTAATGGCTTCTCCAACGGTGTTTGTAACAAAAAAGCTCAATTAAGCCACAATTTGTGCGATTTTCATGTAGTTTAAGTTAGATTCCCTTTGATAGGGTTCCATGGTTGTTGTAATGGCTTGTATACTACGGTAGAATGTTCTTCGAGTGTTGTTTTGCGTTTCGTACAGTAGACAGGAAATTGGAACACATTAGTAAGTTTTTAGAATCGATTATTCTAGATGAACCGGATTCTGATTGACAGGAACTATAGAAGCTTCCTGTTTTTCACAGATAAAACAAAACATTTGGGTTGTATTGAGGCAAATTTGAGCAAAAGATTATAGAAAACGTTCATCATGAAATTAATATGCACCTGAATATATGAAGGTACCACGATTCAAGCTGTAGAATCAGCCGTTCGTTTACAGATAAAGGAAGAAACGGTGGAAGAACACTTATTTGACTGCCACACTCCGCTGATGTTCATCTTTAAAAAAACCGATCTGTTCCGAAACAAAATCTTCCCACTCACAGAAACACAAGACGCTTCTGAAACGGATGTTCCATCTGGGAGGTTCGTGAAATCTACTTCAGTGGAATCCGACCATTTCCAAGCGCCATTACTTGTTTTCGATAGACCAATCCATGATTCCTGGCTACTCGACCAGAAAGTTTGAAGATCATCGGAAAATAGAGGAGCAAAAAGGACCAGATCTTAAAAAGCTTTTGTCAGTTAGTTAGAGTGTTTCAGACTAACTTTTGATTGCAGTTGCCTCTTCAGGTGTTTCAAACGAAGCCAGATGAGCCCCAAGTGAAACACACTCTTCCTCAGCCGTTGATTGCGTCAGGACATCGAGCATTTTCTGAAAAAATAAAGTTATTGACCTAGAATTTCAACAAACCTTATAGCAATTTCCGTTATATGGGATCCATGAGTGTTGGCAGCCTACATTGCAGGGACCTAGAAATAAAAATATGGGAATTTGTGAAATTTTTTTTTGGAATCCTTGCCAACGGTTGTAGTAGTAGCTACTGCAGTAGAAACTGTTGGTCCAGAAGGAGTGGTGGCTTGTTTTTCTGTGATTTTATCATTGTTCGAAAATCTATTTCTACTTTCACTTACTAATAGCGCTCAAGTCAAGTTGCGCTGATGATAATGTAGGAATTAGAAGAAGAAGAACAAATTTCATTGTGTTACTATGATCGTCGGAAATCGATTGTTCTGCGTCTATGAGGATTAAAGGATTTGGGTAAACCATGTGAACAGGAGCTTTAGAAAAATTATGAACTGCTTTTTTTCAAATTGTATTTTACCATTCTGCTGAAAAACTTTGAATTTTTTTATCAGTTTATATGATTCGATTTGGGTGATACACGATAAAAAATAATAACACATGATTCAAAGAGCATTCAAAGCTGCTGGAATATTTGCATTGATTTCTTTGGTATTTTCTTCCTCGTCCAATCCGTTGATCCAGTTGTACGCCTTATCTACAAGCTTCTTGAGAATTCCTGAAAGTATTACCTAATATTTTCACCCTTAGTTTTTAAGTTCTTACTCTTTCCAGCCTTCTTGTAATCTGCCACGACATACATCACAATCATGGCGTCCATCGCAGGATAGATTGTAAAAACGGCAAGGAAGATTCCAGTCGGAAGGTCAACTTTAAGATCAAAAAATGGGAGATAGATTATGAAAAATACTGGTGAAAACAGAGAAATGGTTGGAGTGACGATTTGAAGTATCAGTGTCTTGAACAGTTGCTTATGAAGATTCCTCATCGATAAAGACAATGATCGGAGTTTCTCTTCCATTCCATGATACATCCAAATGGCACAATAAATAATCACTGTGTACTGAAGCAACATGATAGCTGTCATATCGAAAGTACCCGAAATGTTGAACCATCTGAGTGATCCATCTTCGTTATACGTAACCAAAGCCAATGAAGAGATTTCGGAAACAGTCAAATTGTATCTTTCAAGAAGATCTTTTCTGAAATTTTGATTTCGAATTATGAATATTATCTTCAGCTTTTACTCCATATATTTTTCGGAGTATTCATCCATCTCATCGAAACAGTAAATTCCCATTGTCCATAAAACACCAAACACCGACGAATAAAGCACACAAATTGAGAATCTCCATCCTTTGAAATATCGAAGTTTGGTAGTGCTAAATTTTTTGATTCCTATGGGGTTATTCAAAAAGAAGCAAACCAGATGTTGCTGAACTTTGCATTAATGGCCTACTTTCAGTGTTTACTTACTCAAAAATCGCCCAGTATCGATAGATAAATTGAACGGATAGCATGGAAATTGTATACGCATATACTCCTGAGTAGAAAGAAAGAAGCGCAGTAACCATGTCTCTGCCAAGGTTAAATGGCCTTAGGGGAGTGAAAAAAAGATACCCAGAATTATGGGAATAGACGTCCTAAACTCATTTTTCCGATTTTACTATTAGTTACCCAACATCAACTCACCGGATACAGAATCAATTCAACGGTAGCAAAGAGGATCCCGACTGAAGGAAAAAGAACCAGGAGATATTTATAACTTCCAAAACTTCTTTGAAGCCAGAAAATAGTGAGATAAATCAACAGAGAGCAGAAGACGGAGGTGGAGAAAAACCCGAATTGAGCGATTCTCTGAACATATCTGGCATAGCGGATAAAAGAGTTCGGATTCTCATTTACAGTGTTCATTGAGAATTCGTAGAAACTAGTGAGAGTCGTGTGGGATCTGATAAAAAATTCCGGTGTCTAGGTAAACGGAAATTGAGTTGGGCTTTAGTCAGTTATGGTTTGGGGTGGATCTTTGTTGCAACTGTCTAGCCAACCACGTCACAGGTTTATGAGAATTCCTAATTGCTGTCCAGATTGAAAATAGCAACTCATAAAAAAATTATACGAGAAAATGCAAAACTAGAAGTCATATTTTTTACTATTCACACATCTGGTTGTTATCGTGCCACTTTTTTGAATCTCATCGTTCGGCCACCTCAGATTGTCGTCGAGGGATTTCCTCACGTTATTAAAGATGACAGAAAACTTGATGATTCAAAGAGCCTTCAAAGCTGCTGGAATATTTGCATTGATTTCTTTGGTATTTCCTTCCTCGTCCAATCCGTTGATCCAGTTGTACGCCTTATCTACAAGCTTCTTGAGAATTCCTGAAACTATTTCGTAAAATGCTCAGCCTAATTTTTTCAGTTTTTACTGTTTGCAGCCTTCTTGTAATCAGCCACGACATACATCACAATCATGGCGTCCATCGCAGGATAGATTGTGAAAGCGCAAAGAGAAAGTCCAGTCGGAAGGTCAACTTTAAAGTCAAAGAATGTGAGATAGATTATGAAAACTGCTGGGAAAAACAGGGAAATGGTAGGAGTAATAATTTGAAGGATTAGTGTTTTGAAGAGTTGTTTATGAAGATTCCTCATAGATGAAGACAACGACTGAAGCTTTCTACCCATTCCATGATACATCCAAATGGCGCAATATAGGATAACTGTATACTGTAATAACAGGATAGTAGTCATATTGAAAGTACACGAAATGTTGAACCATCGGAGAGATCCATCTTCGTTATACGTAACCAAAGCCACGGAAAAGGTCAAATTGTATCTTTCAAGGAGATCTTTTCTGAAATTTTGATTTCGAATTATGAATATTATCTTCAGCTATTATTCCATATATTTTTCGGAGTATTCATCCATCGGGTGGTTCCCAATTAATCGGACTGATAAAAACGGGTCTATCTTTAGACATGAGTACCTTGGAAGCAAGAAAATTCGTAGAAATATAGTTTCACGTTTGATTCAAATCTACTAATATCAAAGCGATTGCTAAAGTCTATGTACCGTAAAGATTGTCCACAATCACCCAAAGGCATAATCTTAAGCTATAATTTTGATACCACTTAGCTTTATCGGTGCGCTTTTTTCTGATTTTAGAAAAAACTGTCTTTTTTATGTGAACTTACATAATGTTCTTTACGAAATGAAGCTATAAAAGAACTCACCGCACACCACCTTCAAGATTCAAAGAGCATTCAACGCTACTGGAATATTTGCATTGATTTCTTTTACATTATCTTCATCGTCCAATGCGTCGAGCCAGTTATATGCTTTATCTACAACCTTCTTGAGAATTCCTGAAACTAGTTCGTGAAATTTTCAGCCTTTTCTTCAGTTTTTACTCTTTGCAGCCTTCTTGTAATCAGCCACAACACACATCACAATGATGGCGTCCATTGCAGGATAGATTGTGAAAGCGCAAAGGAAGATTCCAGTCGGAAGGTCAATTTTAAGATCAAAAAATGGGAGATAGATTATGAAAAAAGCTGGGATAAACAGGGAAATGGTTGGAGTGACGATTTGAAGGACCAGTGTTTTAAATAGTTGCTTATGAAGTTTCTTCATTGATAAAGACAATGACCGAAGTTTTTCCTCCATTCCAAAATACATCCAAATGGCACAATACAGGATAACGGTATACTGAAACAACATGGTAGCAGTCATATTGAAAGTACACGAAATGTTGAACCATCGGAGAGATCCATCTGCGTTAAACGCAACCAAAGCCAATGAAGATATTTCGGAAAAGGATAAATTGTACCTTTCAAGAAGATCTTTTCTGTAATTTTGATTTTGAACATTGTTGAAATATTATCTTCAAATATTACTCCATGTATTTTTCGGAGTATTCATCCATCACGTCGAAACGGTAGATTCCTATTGCCCATAAAACACCACATATCGATGAATAAAGCACGCAAATTAAGAATCTCCATCCTTTGAAATATCGAAGTTTGATAATACTAAAGTTTGTGATTATTATGCGGTTGTTCAGAGAGGGGTGAACCAGCAATTTGCTGCGGCCACGGAAACCAAGAATTTTTGATATTCCTAGGCCACTTGCTTGTTGTAGGCAATTTTATGAACCTTCAATTTTTAGATCGTAATCGCTTCAACATTTAAGGCATATGGGATTTCCTGCAATAGTCTGGCTGGCCGTGGAGTCCAGGTGTACAAGCAAATGGTCTAGAAAACTACAGCATTTTTGGCTGCCGCGGCCGCAGCAAATCACTGAATCCGTTTCACTCTGATGAACCTCATTTATCTTCTTGCAGTGTTCACTTACTCAAAAATCGCCCAGTATCGATAGATAAATTGAACGGATAGCATGGAAATTGTACACGCATATACTCCTGTGTAGAAAGAAAGAAGCACAGTAACCATGTCTCTCCCAAGGTTAAATGGCCTTAGGGGAGTGAAAAAAAGATAGCCAGCATTATGGGAATAGAGGTTCAAAACAAATGTTTTGTTTTTTAGTGACCCATTACACACTTACCGGATACAGAATCAATTCAACAGTGGCAAAGAGGATACCGAGAGAGGGAAAAATAACCAGGAGGTATTTGTAACTTCCAAAGTTTCTCTGAAGCCAGAAAATGGTGAGATAAATTAAGAGAGAGCAGCAGACGGAGGTGGAGAAGAACCCGAATTGAGCGATTCTTTGCGCAAATCTGGCATATCGGATAAAGGAGTTCGGATTTTCAACAACCGCGTTCATTGATATTTTTAGTAACTAGTGAGAGTCATGTGGGATCTGATAAGAAGAATTCCGGTGTCTAGAGGAACGGAAATCGAGTTGGGCTTTAGTCATATAGGGTTTCGGTGTGGGTATTTGTTGCAACTGTCTAACCAACCACATCACAGGTTTTTAGGAGGTCCGAAGAGAAAAATAACAACTCATAACACAATTGTACGAGAAATTGCCACATTTGAAGTCATCTTGTTTTCAACTTTCACAATAGGAGACACTTTTGATTTTTTGCAAAACGAAATTTGATCGTTGAATAGCAACATGATGAACCTAAATTCATAAAAATGTAAAATGCGTCCAGAAATAAATATTATCACCCGTTAAAAACATGAATAGTCTGCCAAGCCAGCGTTTGGCAAATGAATGTCCAAAATCGATTATCTATTATAGTGCTGAAAAAAGGTAGCTAATAAAAATTCAAAAACTTCGGCTCTAGTCGGTTATTTAGGTTCTTAGAAGTTTTTATGGTTCGTAGTATATCTTTAACGAAAAAAATCTTGGTTTTATTGGTTAAAAAATTTCGAGGACCAGTAAAATTATAAGGACCAAAAAATTCTGAGGAACAAAATAATCCACTGAGACGAAATTTTACCTACTGCCACTTCAATGCAAAAAATACATTCAACGAAAACAAAGCGTCTTGAAACACAGTTTGCAGAAACAATATCATATTCTTCTTGGCTTTTTTCCAGTGCTCCGATTCACGACTAGTCCTCTTTTTCTGCGAAAAAACACCTGATAATTATGTTTCCTAGACTGTGATTTTACCATATAATAAAACCGAATAAATGTAACGACATTAATTAGAAATGGGAAAATCAGAAGAGCCAAACCCCAGTAAAACATTCCATCTGGTGAAACGATGCTACCAATATGAGCAAGATACTTTGGAGAGAAAGTCATAAAATTGGATTCTCCTAGAAGAAGTATCTTACGAATTATTTTCAAAAACAGAACGAAATAAAACAAACTGTATCTATCAAAATGTTCCATGGTCAAGTTTCGAATTCGATCCAAATAATAAAGAATGTGAAAGGTTAGAGTAGCTTTGATTCCAAAAAATAAGTTGCATTTGATAGGAAAAAATATGGCGAAAAGCCGATTTACAGCGGTGTAAATGCTCTGAAACTCGTTGAAAACCATCAGATTGATTCCTGTTGTAATCAAAATACTCTCCATCAAAGGAGGATAGATTGAGTATCCCCTGGAAGTTTTTTTGAATTTTTTCACATTTTTTCTTGAAAGCACTCACAAAATAGTTTCTGGAAAAAATACACCAAGCATAACAACCAATAGAACATACAGATTATTTGAAGCACGAGAAAGACATATCAAATTGAATGCATTATTCTTCTTTTCGGAGAAAAATGCATATAAAATGGCAAAGTTGAGAACAGCTTCAATCAATGATGTCTGAAAACGACAGAAATTTAAAGATACTCTGCCGCGACAGTGTTTGGCCAAGATGTGTAATCATATTCTTCTGATCGGGGATCCATTGGCACTGTAACGCAGCAACACCTGCAATAAAAGGACACATTAGGTTTGAGCTAATTTATCTCGGTTCCTGTGAAAGATGTCAAAAATATTTCAACTGATAAAATGTTTTTGATATTATGATAAACAATTTATCAGTTGACCATCTTTTTGTGTTTCTAACAGGAACTGATATAAATTGGGTCAAAATTAGAAGTCAGGGAACATTCTTTTACAGGTTTTACGGTTTTCGTATCTGCTTTGACCCATTTCTTTTACAGGTTTTACGGTTTTCGTATCTGACTTTGACCAACTTTTAAGCAAACCATACATAATCAAAGTACAATTCCGTGTATGGTACAGATGTTCAAAGTGTCAAGTAGAGATTTTCGGCTTCTGGGCTTTTTCTACTACCGTTACACAATTTCAAATTGTCAATGTTTGGTTTTTTATGTTTTTATGATTTTTCAGATGCTTTTCTAGAATATATACTTATTTATTACTCAAGAGATGTTTCTTTCAGCTCAAAAACCGATTTTATAAGTTGAGATGCAAGCAAAAACAAGTAGGAGGGTTAATTTTATTTATCGTGTGAGAGTCGGTTGCTGGATTTTGATACTTTTTTCAATAGGTATCAATACTACAGTTCAGTCGAATATAAAACATGATTTCCGCTTGTTGAATACTCATTCTCGGCTTGCGGGATCTTTTTTTATTGGGTTTCAAGTTATTTCATCCCTGTGTTAGGAAATGAAACTAAACCAATGTTCTGTTATATCATTAATTTACTCAAATAAAATCACTTTTAAATTCAGTTCTATCGTTTCCATGGGCTTTCCGCATCACAAAATTATGTTTTATAGAATTCGAATGAACTGTAGTATTGATATATATTGAAAAAAGTATCAAAATCCAGCAACCGACTCTGACACGATAAATAAAATTAACCCTCCTACTTGTTTTTGCTTGACTCTCAATTTATAAAATCGGTTTTTGAGCTGAAAGAAACATCTCTTGAGTAATAAATAAGTATATATTCTAGAAAAGCATCTGAAAAATCATAAAAACATAAAAAACCAAACATTGACAATTTGAAATTGTGTAACGGTAGTAGAAAAAGCCCAGAAGCCGTAAATCTCTACTTGACACTTTGAACATCCGTACCATACACGGAATTGTACTTTGATTATGTATGGTTTGCTTAAAAGTTGGTCAAAGTCTATTTAATCATGTTCAAAATGCTATATTTCACATTCATCACCGTTTCTATTTTTCCCAGAATTTTGAAAGAATGACCCAAAAATCCGTAATTTTTCAAAAACTGAATTTTTCCACTGAAATTTGTTCTTTTATTTTTCAAGTTGAGAGTGTTTTTGTAGCATTGTTCTCGGGTGATTTGCTACATTTTACAAAACAGTTTGATGCTTCAGCTCTGTTTTGAAGAAAGTTACAGTTGAAAAACACGAATTGTATATCTTATTGCACGGTAATTATGGTGCTCACAAGGAAATGAGAAATAAGAAAATTCTCAGAAATTGTTATTTTTGTCAAAAATGGATGTGTTTGATTTTCGTCACTTGATATTTTTTAGCTTGATTCCACTCTAAAGGGAATAGTCACATTGATAATCAGGAATATACTTGATTTTTTGATATCCTTTGTTATCATCAGGCACTCGGCTAATTAAAGGAAGGATTTTTTATTTTTTGAATAAAGAAAATGTGTCAAGGAAAGCTAGAAATCAAAAAAAGTTTCTGGAAATAATTCTTTTTTTTGTTTCCCCATAACTAAATCAGGGTAGAGCGAATAGACATTCAGTTTCTTTTTTTTGTCGACAAGCACATTCAGTCTAGCTCTCGGAGAGAAAATAACAAATAGTTGTCTATCATGATATCAGCAGTGTTTTATCAGTTATAACATTTTTCATATCTTGCATAAGAACCGATACGAATCAGCTCAAAGTTTACAGGGGCCTCTCCATTACAGTTTCCCGGTATTATAGTATCAATGGATCCTGGTTTTGAAGTTTCTGATTACACAACTTGGTCAAACTGCGCCGCAGCAACCATCCTGGTCCTTCTATTACAGGTTTTGTGGTAACAGAGTAACATATGTATTTCCTGAAAACCCGACGTCAAATATTTTTATCCGAATCCGGAATGCGGAATTCAGACAACAAATTTTTTCTCCGAATCCAAAGGTAGCCTCTGTCCATTCTTTATCCGACTGAAAAAGTTTTTTCGTCCATTTTCATGATTTGTACCATTCTCTAGAAACGACCACAAAAATAACTGATTTGCTCTCATTTCTCACAGTGCCAAAGACAATCCAATGTTTGTACAGGTACAATCAAACACTCTCGTTTTCCATTCTCTCATGGTTCTCATTTTGTCATTGATGATCTACCGAGGTTAGTCACCAAATTCGAAAGGTCACAGAAAATGGCACTGCTCCACTCCACATCACTTTGTGTTTATTTATTGTGTACCATCAAAAGAAGAAGAAATTGTGAAATTTTAGAAGGAGGTTTATTTCAATTATTTGTTTTACTGTGTATTGAGCTGACTGTCTAGCAGCGCTCATTGGTCAAAATACGAAAAAAAAAAATAGTTGTTTCAAGGATCCCACAGAAGGTTAGCGGCGTTTTCCGAAATCGTAGATTGGGTAGAAGGCAGTTACGTAGTTTGGTTTTGGGTTGATGTAGTGTTGTTGACGTTGTTCTGAAAAATAGTGGTTTTTGAAACTGTTTTTAATTCCGTTTTTTCAAATACTTTCCAGATCAAATTTTTTATTATTTGCACATTCAACAATGTAGTTTTTTGGCACACTTGTAAACGGGGACGTGCCTTCACAGGCCCTGGCCAGGTTCTGTGCTGTTTTGGTAACCTTGTTCATAGGCGAGGTGCAATATTGCAATAATTAACATTTTGTAGTACTTGTCAAGTTCTATCTGCCTGATTTAGCTGGTCCAAAAATATTGATTCCAAAAGAAACTATGGTAGTGCCTGCGAAGGCCCGCTTGTTACACGTTCTCCAAGTATGCCTATACTGAATGGAAAATTACCAAAACTTTCTTTATATTGTTTTCTCCTCCTTTTTCTCACCTTCCTGTTGAGCCATATAATAATCCTCTGGAAAATCATAGAGACTGAGAGATCGCATATCGACAAGTCTCTTTCTGATCGGAATGTTATATCCGAGTCCACCAGTAGCCACCAATCCCAGAATGACCAGAAGAGCCAAGATAAATTTCATCTGAAATCAAAGGAACATCAGTTGCAAACCTATTTTTAATGAGTCATTTTTCTCTTTACATTGCCGTTACTATATTGTGTATGTACAAATAGGTTGCGGTCAGAGAAAGCCGCAGAAAATTGGCAAAGTTTATCGTCTACGGTGAGAAAGAAAAAAACGGTTTAAAAAAAGTTTGTCAATAAGAACTTAGAGGTTTAGAGCAAGCACTTGGGAAGAAACAAGGAAAACTTAAAGAGATGAGGAGAATCTGAGATCTGGTGTTTTGATGAGCAGTATTTAAGCAAGAAGATGTCAATGTCACAATCCAGATTATCTGGTATTATGCATTTCCTGTTGTAATACAAGTTTATCATTAATATTTTGGAAAGGGTAAAGCCTCATGAGAAGATTAGAAGATGTCAGGATGAGATGCTCTTAAAAGGCACTGGTGAAGCTGCTTAAGGAAATGTCAGAATTCGGGAATCTGATGGTGTATGAGTCATAATATGATTATCAATGATAAGCCCCATCCAGAAAGCTGATTTTCCATGATATATGAAATTTTTGTCAACAGATAGCAATTTCAAAAATTATCAAACATTGTAAAACCTGTGACAGAAGGCCCTTAACTTTGAGGTCCTATATCTCGGTTTCTGTAAAAGATATCGAGAAGTCGTCAACAGACAAAATATTCCGGATATTACGATAAACATTGTTAGTTGGCAAACTTTTATATCTTTGACAGGAACCTAGATTTATTGGCTCAAAGTTAACAGCTAGGGATCCCTTCTGATACTGGTTTTACGGTTTTATGGAATGCTTTCTTTTGTGTATACCAACTGACAAGTTAATATCTCCCTTCATAACATCCTCCTAACTTCTTCAGATCAACTCCCTTCTTGTTTTGATCTGTCCTTATCCCTGTCTTCCTCCCCCACAGGAAATCCTCGTCTTCTTCTCTTTTTTCGGTGCTTCCCGTTACTGGCACAAACACAACAAAAGTAGGTACTCAACTTTTTGTGGACACTGCCTACATTTTGGAAATCACTGGGAGTTTAGGGTTAGCGACAACTCGAAGAGAAACCACCCAATGAGCATACTGTAAACACACAGATAGAATACAAACCATCAGCTTTGAGCCCATATAGCTCATCTCCTGTAAAAGATATCAAAAAGTTGTCAACAGACTAATTGTTTGTGATATTATGATAAGAAATTTATTAGTTGACTACTTTTTTCTATCTTTTACAGAAACCGAGATCAATTGGCTCAAAGTTGAAAGCTAAGGAGTGGTTAAGGTACATACTTTTTTCAACTCGGTTTTGTTTGTGTGATTTGATTTTGATTTTGATGTTAAAAGAGAACGAGAACAAATTAAATTGAAGGGGGGAGTCTGTGGTTTATAGCAGATTACGGTAAGATGACAGTGTGGAGGATTGGAATGATAAGATCATCGTTTGGTGTCGAATTGTGGGTGTTCTGATTTCTGAGCTTTTGAATTTTTTGTCGATTCAGTTTCCGAACTTCAAAGTACATAGAGTATAAAAAAATAACAGAGAAAAATAATTCATTGTACTGGAACTTTTTTCCGCGAGGAACAGTCTTAAGCTTCAAACAACTACCGTACCACTCTAATAGAAGCCCACCCTATATGTGTACTTTGAGCTTGATTATCTTGATTCCTGTGAAAGATATCAAATGTGTCAACTGATAAAATGTTTTTAGTAAAATTTTCAAAGCTTTATCAGTTGACAAAGATTTGATATCTTTCCTAGGAATTGAGATAATTGAGCTCAAACTTGACGGTTTGAATGGGCTTTTATTAAAGAATTTACGGTATTTTCTGAAAATCCGACGATACCGATTCCCATGAAAATAAGTCCACAAATCAAATTCAAGATCAGAATTCAATACTTCAAGAAGCATATTTTTCTTCAATTCCTCTCATAACACAATCTATGATACCTGAGATTTCTTTATTTATACTTTAGACAAGATTCAATTCAATTGAGAGAAATAACACCATATCATAATTACAAGGCAGTTTTAGCTTTTCTGTTTCCGTTTCGAGCATTCATTTTCTTCCATAAGTGTAGTAGTAGGTGTATGGATAGTAGTAGGAGTATCCATTGTTGTTCGGGTAGTAGTAGTAGGTGGTTCCAGTGTTCCCATTGTTTCCGTTATCGTAGTAGTAAGTCGTTTGACCGTTGTTGTTGTTGTTTGGGTATAAGTAGTAGGTGGTGTAACCGTTGTTGTTGTTTTGTGGATAATAGTAGTAGAGCTGAAAGATTTATTAAATTGAAATTATTACAGTAACCCTTGATAACTTACATAGTAGGCCTGAGCCTGAGCAATAAGAGCCAAGACGAGAACGACAAGAAGGAGTTGCTTGTTCATTTTGTGATCGCCGGTCGTGATATGGTCTTCTCTTCCCACTTCTTCTTTATATACCTCCAATCCTTCTAGGCGGCTCCTCCTAGGGCGTGGAGTGATAGTGGAGATGCCATTCGTGAGCAAAAGACAAACAGTGTTGTCCACTTTGAACTGTTGGCCAAAGAAAGTTAAGGATTAAAAGGAATTTGTAGTCGCTTTGCTTTTTTTTTCTTGCCTCTTTGGAGTAGGTAAACTGCACAAAGGCTCCTCCCCCCATCTCCTACATCGAACGAAGAATCTGGAGATCACAACGGAAAAGTGGGCGGAGTTTGATGTTTACATTAGACAGTATAAAACAGTAAGATCTGGTAAGAGAAAAATCATCGAATTCGCTCAACTTAGAAACATGAGATTCCTTACCCTCATCGCTACTCTTTTGGCTCTTCTCGCCACTGCCAACGCTTATTATGTAAGTTTCTTTTCTAGTTGAAGATTTCAATTTAAAGTTAAAACCAGAATTTTCAGACCTATTACTATTACCCGAACAACAACGGTTACTACAACAACAACGGATACACGACCTACTACTACTACCCGAACAATAACAACAACGGTCAAACTTATTATTATTACCCAAACAACAATAATGGATGCTCCGGATGCAACAGCAACGGATACACTACTTATTATTATACCTGGGGAAAGAAATAATTTTATGTCTTTTATGCTGGTTTTGTCTGAAATTGAACGAATAAACCTTTTCATAAAAATCACTCGGTTTTATTAAAACTTTGGCAACTAAAGATGTACATGGAAAAGAAAAAATCTACAAATTAGATCTAGGTTTATTACAAATTTTCAGTTCTGAACTCTTTCCACGAGTTGAATAATATTGAGCGCTTGCAGAAGAAGTGGTCTGTCAATCATCTGTCCTCTGAACTGGAATGCTCCTTTTCCTAACGATTCGTGCTCACTGTAGGCATGCACTAACTCTTGTGCCCATTCGATTCTCTCTTTCGGTGGCAGAAATTGTTCCTGGACGACAGAAACTTGGCTCGGATGGATTACTTGTTTCCCTGTGAATCCCCACTGTCTTCCTTCTGCAGATTGACGTTTTAGGCCATCCAAATCTTTGATGTCTATGTAGACACTGTCGATCGCTTGCAGTTGGAACGCTTTGCAGCAAGTTACGAACTTTTGGCGAGCAAATAGTGTTTCTGTTCCGTGTGAGCTTCTGGTGGATCCAATATCCGCACAGAAGTCGTCGGATCCGAAAACTACAGCATCCAACTTAAAGAATCCTGCTTGTTTGTGGAGGTTCAACGTTGATGAAAGAATTCGTGGCATATCCAACAGAGCACGAGCTGATTCGATCCAGATCACAAGTCGAGTGTTGGTATTTGTGATTCTTTCATCTCCGTAATGCTCTCTGAAGATATTGTAGATGGTGACCAGATCTTCTGGACTATCAACTTTTGGAACCATGAAAGCATGTGGCAATTTCTCAGCTTTACTTATTGCCTGAAAAATAAAACTCATAAATCTTTTATGAAACTTTTAACATACCTTGATATCATCCTCCAAAAGTCCGCTGCTAACAGAATTGACACGCAGACCGAGTTCCTGACAAGCCAAGGAATGGTAGGGAATTTTATCCAATGCAACTGCTGCCTGAATTCATTCAAATACGATTTGGATGCCTGAAATTCATACCTGCGCTCTAGCCTCAGCTTTTGCTGTCAGAGCTACACCATCTTCCAGTTCAATAACTACTGAATCAGCCTGCATCGTTGGAATTTTGTCCAACATTTTTTGATTACTAGCTGGAACGTAGAGGAGAGCTCTTCTTGGAACATATTTTGCTGCATCGCGGACACCGGCAAATTGGGAAATATGTCGAATGAATGTTTTCGGGAGCATTTTCTGCAAAGAAATCATTTGTAACTAGGTTTTCAATACATTGACACAACCAACAAAAAATAATTGTCCAGTGTGTGGAAATACGGGAGTAAATCGACACAGCTGCAAGTGCGCCCCTTGGACGGTGGTGGCCGCCTGGCCTAACTTTCACAAATTTTTCTTGAATTTTCTCGAATTTCCTGTTGTTTTCCCGGAATTCTATCTAATTTAAAAGATTTCTTTGAAGTTTTCAGAAGATTGAACATAGATTTTACGATTTTTGATAACTTACTCGTCAGTTTGACTGCAAAACGACATTATTTTTGTGCTAATCAAGAGGAAATTTCCTAAGAAACGTTTTCAGAAAACTAAAATGGCCAAGTGGGGAGAAGGAGATCCGCGCTGGATTGTTGAGGAGCGTGCCGACGCAACCAATGTGAACAACTGGCATTGGTAAGTGGTTTCTCAGTTGTCTTCAGTGTCAAGAATTCGTTTTAGGTCTGAGAAAAATGCGACTCCATGGTCCTTGAACAGGTTGCGCGAACTCCTCACCGGATTCTCCGCTGAGGTAAGAATAACTTTTCTTTTTTTAAGCAAATGCGTATTTTTAATGTTTGCAGGATGGCCCGATTGTGGTGACCATCGATGAGATCAAGAAGATCGATGGAGAAGCAACCGCTAACAACCGGAAAGCCAAACTCATTTTTCTTTTCGAATGGGTCATTGAAGGAACTTTCATTGCTCGCATTTCTGGTAGCGAAGAGGAATACAAGGGAAAGTTCGATATTCCAAACTTGAGTGACGAGAACGATGCATCGGAAGTAGATTTGAACACTTCGTTGGATGGAAATGGTCCAATGGCACATAATGTTCGTCAAGTTCTCAACAAATCGTTTGTCAAGAAAATTCAAGATGTATTGGGAATTTACATTCGAGAGTTGAAGGAAGAGTTCAGCAAGGGCCTTATTCTCCCAACGGACCAGGTCAAACCACAAGTCGTCACCAAAGGAAAGACTACTGTTGTCGACAAGCGTCAATTCCAAAACACTGTTATTGCTGAAAAAGATGTTTCCACTTCCGGAAATGAAGTTTTTTCAACAAAAGAGGTCTCCGTCAGTGATACGTTCAAAGCCACACCGGAACGCGTTTTCGAAGCAATTACCGAGACTCAACTTGTTCGTGGATGGACTAACGGTTCTATCCAAGAATGGGATTTCAAGGAAGGAGGAAAATTTGCACTGTTCGGGGGAAATGTAACCGGAACTTTTGAGAAAATTGAGCCAAGTAAGGAAATCGTCAAGAAGTGGCGATTGAAGAAATATCCTAACAACCATCATGCTACAATTCATTTCACTCTCAAAGACAATGTAAGTTTTTAGCGAAATTTTCCTGAAGAAACTTTTCTTTTCAGGGGTCTGGAACGGATATCAAGATTACCGCAAAGGAAGTACCAACCCATTTGGCCGATGAGACCCAAACAGGGTTGGATCGCTACTATCTGACTAGCATCGCTCGTACCTTTGGATTTAGTCAGCGGATCTAAAAACTATACTATTCGTTCGTTTGATCTATTGCTCTCAGCATCGTTTTGGTCTTTTTGATGTTCTCGATCTTTTTTCTCTCTTTTGAGTTAATTCTTCTCTTTTAATTTATACCAGTCTGTGTTGTTTTTCTTTTCTAAATTTTATATAGCCGGCTTCAAAAAAAGCAGTATAACATTAAAAATAGCTATCTAGGAATTTGTTCTTCCAGTGCAGCAGGCGACCAGTTTCCAAAGTCCGTGAGTATTTTTGTGATAAGATGAGCTGGAGTAACATCAAACGCTGGATTCCAAACTGGACATTCCGAATTTCCAACGAGCACTCCATTCACTCGAAGCAGCTCACTCGCCGCGCGCTCCTCGATTTTAATCTCCTCTCCGGACGAAATGTTCTTATTGATTGTAGTAAACGGAACAACTGGATAGAAGTTGATGTTGTGGTGCTTGCAAAGAACAGCAAGCATGTAGGTGCCGATTTTGTTCGCTGTATCTCCGTTTCTGGCAACATTGTCAGCTCCAACGAGAACACAATCTAGTTGATGATTTTTCATTGCCCATGCTGCCATCGAGTCAGTAATGAGCTGAAAATTAAATAATAATCATTTTTAAACTACATTTTAACCTCACTTTGAAGGGAACTTGCCCATGAAGAAGCTCTGTAGCTGTCAATCGAATTCCTTGATTGTAAGGCCTTGTCTCCAGAACATACGCAAGATTGAGGCGGTTCTCAGAATGTAAAGCGCGGATGACTCCGAGAGCAGTTCCCCAGGATACCGTAGCAAGACTTCCAGTGTTACAAATTGTCATAACTGTGAATTTTTCTTTCCCAGGGAATGCTGTGAGGAGTTCCTGGTAGGCATTCCATAACAAAATTCTGTTCTGAAGTTTTTCGGCAGTGTAGACATTGAGAAGGTATTCTTGGCATCTGTAGATTCAGATCTTCTCAAATAAATACGTTTTTTCACTTACTTGGCCAACTTTTCATCATCTGTGATTCCTTCAGTTTCCAAGATAGGGATCAACCCAGTTACAGAGTTTCTCAAGTCAACGGCAGTTGGACGAGAAGTAATCAAATACTCTATCTTTTCACGGATAGTTTCAATATTCAATTCTGAATTTTTATTAAATTCGAGAAGAAGACCTAGACTCCCAACAACGGCAATCAAAGGAGCACCACGGACTTGCATGGATTTGATAACATTAAAAGCGTCAGAAACATCATTAACTGGAATATACTTGAATTCGTGTGGAAGCAGAAGCTGATCTGAAAAATCAAAAATTTTTGCTGATAATAGTCTAATTAGGCATACCTAAAACTTCCAAACGTTGTCCATCAAACTTTAAAGAATCCAACCGTTTAGTCTCGTCAGCTAAGAACGAATCCGGAATCGGCCCATTGACTATTTTATTGATTTTCGGAGCCATTTTTATCTAGGTCAGCTAACTTTTGGGGAGAAATAATGTTAAATATAATTGTCTTTTAGTTTCTTGCGTTTTTCCGATGATAAGATAAGAGGCAGCGCAGACAGAATGTGTGCAAAGAATGATCAATATAGTGTCTCAATGAATTTGAAAAAGTGCCAAAAAATTTTTTCAGCTGGCCTAGGATCCGAATATCGTGTACTCCTCTCGGAAAAGTTGGAATTTTTTCATTTTTGAGAGGAAGATCCGCGGAAAATAACATAAAACTATGAAAATAAGGTCTCTTTTGAAGTGTAAAAGACTTTTAAGTATTAATTGGAATCGATATTCTTCTCTTAAAGTGTTAGGAATTGAGACGAGGTACCGGAGACAATGTACAACATAAAAAACTTCCAAATGTATGTATTTCAGTTGTGATGACACGGCAGTGGCTGTAGTAACTAGTGATCGTGTTATTCTATCATCGGAACGAATCACAGAAAGAGCAATTCAACGAAAACAAGGTGGAATCAACCCATCAGTCTGTGCTCAGCAAGTAAAAATCTAAAATTACAATAGCTTTTTCCTAAAACTAAATATTATTTTCAGCATCGTCAGAATCTCCCGATTCTCATTGAAAAATGTTTAGAAGACGCTGGAACATCACCAAAAGATCTCGATGCAGTGGCTGTGACAGTAACCCCAGGATTAGTGATTGCATTGAAAGAAGGAATTGCAGCTGCAATTAGTTTTGCCAGGTAGGCCGGAAAAAAAACGTTGAAATTTAATAATTTTGTCTCCAGAAAGCATAAATTGCCATTAATTCCTGTTCATCACATGCGAGCTCATGCACTATCCATTCTTCTTGTTGACGATTCAGTTCAGTTTCCGTTTTCCACGCTTCTTCTTTCCGGAGGTCATGCTTTAATTGCCGTTGCAGAAAATGCAGAAAACTTTAAATTGTACGGTGAGCTTTTTTTTATAATCTTTTTCAAAAGGAAAATGTTTTTTTCAGGTCAAAGTGTAGGTGGAAGTCCAGGAGAATGCATTGACAAAGTGGCAAGACATCTAGGCGATTTGGAATCTGAATTCGATGGAGTTCATGCTGGAGTAGCAGTTGAAACACTGGCTTCTAGATCCTCAGAATTTGGTCATCAACGATACCCAATAAGTTTTCCAAGCGTCGGAAAGGCAGACATGAACTTTGATCAAATTAAAGGATCTTATCTGAATTTGCTGGATAAACTAAGAAGAACAGAGAAAGAGAAAGTAAACGTTTCAGACTTCTGTGCAAGTCTTCAGAATACAGTAACCAGACATATCGCCAGCAAACTTCACGTCTTTTTTGATACTTTGGATTCTGAAAAACGACTGCCAAAACAGCTGGTTGTTGGAGGAGGTGTAGCTGCTAACGAGTACATTTTCAATGGTGAGCTTCTCTAAATTTCTTGAAAAAAAAGTTGTTTTCTTTTCAGCAGTTTCAAAATTGTCGTCGGCATACGGTGTTTCTACTGTCAAAACCCCATTGACTCTCTGCACAGACAACGCCGAAATGATTGCTTACACTGGGATTCTGATGCATCTTAATAGGTTTGTCCCTTTGAATCATCGGTTTTTCAAAATTTCTGAATGTGTTGATTTTCAAAGTTTCGGAATTTTTGAACATTTCGTTTTTCAAAATTTTGGATTTTCGGAATTTCCTATAGTTTCCATTTTCAAATTTCGGGATTTCGGAATATTCCAATTCTGGCAGTTCCGAAATTTCGGAAAATTCCCTTTTTCAAATTTTGAGATTTCGGAATATTCTGGCTTTGAAAAACTTCTGAATTTTTGAATTTTCCGTTTCGAAAACAATCGGAATATCGAGAAATTCTGGTTTTGAACATTTTGTAATTTCGGAAATTTTCGATTTAAAAAATTCGGAATTTCGGAAATTTTCGATTTACAAAAATTCGAAATTTCTGAAATTTCTGATTTTCGAAATTTCGGATTTTCAGATTTTCGGAAATTCTGGTTTAAAAATTTTGGAATTTCCGGAATTTCGAAAAATTCTGATTTTAAAAAAATTTTTAAATTCTGGCTTTGAAAATTTCGAAAAAATTCAAAAAAATCAATTTTTTTAGTAGATTCAAAATATCGGCTTTCGGAAATTCTGAAAATTTGACTGAAAATTTTGGAATTTTCCTTGGAGTTTCGAAATATTCAGATTCAGAGTTTTGGTTTTCGGAATTTTTCTAGTTTTAAAATATTGGATTCCCAGAATTTCTGAATAGTCGGATTTACAAATTTTCGGAAAAGTCAGATTCTGAATATTTCGAGTTTTAAAATTTTTGAACTTCGAAGTATACTGATTTTAAAATTTTCGGAATCTCGGAAACTCTGGTAATCGGTTTCCAACCAGATTCGGGAAAATTCCGGAGCAGAAATGGTTAGATCTGGTTAGAAAATTGTCCGAATCAGGTTGGGAAATTAGCTTTCTCGGTCGGATCTGGTCAGAAAATCACCAGATCTGGTCGGAAAATAAAAACTTTCCGAATCTGGTTGGAATTTTACTCGAATCTGGTTGGAAAATGCGCGTTCCCTAATTCGGGTTCGAATCTGGTTGGAAAATTGCCCGAAACTGGTTAGAAACCGATTACCAGAGAAATTCTGATTTTTAAAAATTCGGAATATTGCGGTTTTGCAATTTCAGAATGTTCGAATATTCCGATTTCAAAATTTTTGGGAAACGCAAAACATTTTAAAAGTGATAAAAATCAGAAAATAGTCGTAATTCCCATACTTGTAGAATTCTGGGCCAGCCCGCCAAAGCCCGGGCCGGGCCTGAGGAAACTTTCAAGGCCTGGGCCCGGCCCGGAAGGCCTGGTATCAAAAATGCTGTATTTTTGAGCTAATTTTTGAGCTCTCATTATAATTTTCTCCATTTTTTTTGTTTTTTTGGATTGTTTGCCTGATTGATCTAAAAAGATCGAAAAAACTCGAAAAAAATTTTTGATCGAAAAAAAATCACATAAGGACCCTTATGTGTTTTTTGAAATTTTCAAAACTTGTGAAATGACGGGCCCGTCGGGCCGGGTCTTCGAAATTGGGAAAAAAGCCCGGTTACAAGTATGGTAATTCCGAACTCCGTTCCGAACATCCCTCCCTTCCTCCACAATTTGCTTTATTTAAACCTATTTTCTTCTAGATCCGAATCCATTTATTGGAGATCCGAAGACATTCCAGACACAATTTATGCACACGCTCGCACTCCAATTGGTATGTTATCCAACCAAATTTGTAACGGAAATGTGATTTCAGGCCCGGACGCTTCATCTGAAATTCTGAATTTCCCGCGACGAGAGCTGGTGAATTCTACGATTCATGGATCCGGTCCGATTCGGTTTCGAAACTATGATAATTTTAGAAAAGTGACCTTGTGTCGTAACTCATAATTAGTCCCAAAAACCATATAATTAGCGAACTAGTTTCGAGAATCAAGGACGCCCTTGAAATGAAGTACTTCCAAATTGTGAAATTTCAAATGCACATGATTTCATATGACGACAAGAAAGATGAGAACAAGAAGAAGAAGCACAAGCAAAAATAATGATCAGAAGTCAAAGAGAAAGAAAGAAAAAACGAGATTCCGGGATGGTTTGGAGAGAGTGTGTGATTGTTGGCATGGGCGACTTGAAAGGGAATAAATGATGAACTTTGGAAAACAGGGCACAACTAGATGGGATGGGGGTGTCATTGGGTTTTAAGAAAGTTTCATTATGAAGTGGAAAGGCTGTGGAAAAGGAGTGACTATATTATTTAAAGCTGTATCACACAATTGTCAGGGGAAAAAGGAAAGGGCAGGGGTAAAGTAAGAAAGATGACTAGATGGCAGATTTTGGCAGCTAACATGCGATATTCTTTGGGCAGACATGCGTCAGTATGTAGTCCGTCAGAAGAGTGGGCACTGTCGTACTGTCGTCGTGGATGGCGCGAAGAACTGAAATTTGAATTTGAATGAAGGAATTATCCTTCAAACTAAAAAATGACGTTATTCAGAGGGAAGCAGACCAGCAATTTGTTGATTTTGTTCCCTTCCGAATAACCGCATAAAAATTCGTTTTGAAATATTATCCTTGTCTGAGAAAAAAAAGGTTGAGACGCAGAGAAAAAGTGTCTGTGTCTCCACCTTATGTGTGCTATTTAGGCTCTCCGCTTCGATATCGCTACCGTATTCAGACTGCAAAAAATACTCTCTAACCTTTTTTTTCTCAGACAAGCATAATATCGCATCCGATATCTTTTCTTGCAAAAATCCAAACAACTGTCTCTTTTTTCTCCCCGCCACTTTTTGTAATATTTACTGATGATTTTTTCTTATCATCTTTGATCAACCATCAAAACAGCTGACCAATTAGTTCTACTCACTTTTGATAAGAGATGCGATCGACGCATTATCGATATGTTGATTATCGTTGTACGGAATTGTCGCCGTCAAGTACTGCGGCAGTTGTGACGCATCCGACGCCTTTCCACCCTTTCGTTTCCGGTCATTTGCGTACACTCGCCGTTTATTCTGAATTGCCAAAAGAAGAGATATAAACGAATTCTTCATCTCCTTTTCGTAATCCAGCTCATCTCTGAAAATTGGTTTTTTTTTGAGCGGAGGAGTCCTTTTAAAATGACACCAACCTATGCGCGAGTTCATCGACTAAGCTCTCATTGTAGACACGAATCAACTGCTCCATTTCAGCACATAGTGTCACCAATTTCGAATACGAGAGCTCTTGAAGATCTGAAAAACAAAAACGAATTTGGACTGAAATTCAGGAAACACACAAATGACTGGTGGCAGTGTGAAAGTGATAGTTGGGTTTTTGGAAAAAGTGTTAGTGGATGTGAGTAAAACTAATTATTATAGACATAGAAAGTGTGCAAGTGCATTTCTAGCAATAAAGAAACTAAAAAATGACAAAAATGCGCTCTATCGGATAAAAAAAAAGAGCGCAAAACATAAATGACAGGTACGAAAACGAGAACGAAAATGGTTTTTTACTATATACCCGAATGGAACGTCGCAGTTTTCGCTGCTGAAGAAAGGGACAGAAGTTAGATGTGCAATCAGCAGCAGGATTACGGTAGCTTACACACAGGGTCCGCACTGATACGGTACGCTGTTATGCTATTTTTAGTCGATTTTTAACATCAAAACTGTTTTTTTACAGTCCTAAAACTTCACCACGTCACATTCTCATTAAAGCGCACCAGCCTACCACAGCAGTTCGAACCTTGTGCCTACAATAATCCTTGCACAACTGCGAGAAAACAAGGAGAAGAAGAAAATTCCTTTCCTCTTTTCCTTTTTAAGGACTTGAAGCTACTCACTGTCTGGATTGCTGACTAGCGCCTGAGCACTTCGAAGTTTGATGTCTGCTTCAGAAGACTGAATTGATGAGGGATACGGTGATCGCATTGACGAGTACATTGAGTCAACTGATTCCATCGTTCGGTCCGTCATCATTGAGCCAGTAAAGTCGCATGACTGCAAAACGGAGCATTAAAAAGGGCTTAGTTTGACATGGAGGGGGTATTTGTTTCTTCGAAATATGTGAACAAGACAAAAAAGTTTTCAAGATACATAAGCAAATGCACTCGAACGCTAATTTTTCACAAAGGTTTGGCAAATACTCATTAGCTTGATGATCTTTTGCTAAATGCTCGCTTGCTAAATATGCTCATTTGCTAAAATAGTCTCACTTGCTAAATTTTGATCATTTGCTACATAGAGGATTTGTTCAAAGTGAAGGCTTATGGGGTTATTCATGTAGCGAAAATATGTATTGAAATGCATTTCCGCGCACTCGAAATTCAATGCATGAGCGTCGCGAAATGTATTTCAAAGCATTTCGCGACATAACTGTAAAAGCATTTCAATACATCGCGTGGCGAGATATTTTTTCTGGACAAAGGGATGCGCCTTTAAACTTTGTGCAGGATGGGGAAAATCGTTAAAGGCGCATACCTTTT